CTGCACTTGCTGCTGTGATCTCTGTGAGTTCATAGGCACCTTGCTTATTTGATTCAGAGGGCCTTGTTCTCCTGGTGTCCTCCATCCACCACCCCCCCCACCTCTGGCTCTTATAATTTTTCCACCTCTTCTTCTGTGGAATTCCCTGAGCGCTGAAAGGAGGGATTTGATGGAGACCTCTCATTTAGACTGTTTCCTTGTAATGTCTGGCTTTGGGTATCTACATCTGTTCTCATCTGCTGCCAGAGGAAGCCTCGCTGATCATTCTTTTCATGGATGCCTAAGTAATTTTTACATGCACCTATTTATTTTAAAATTGCTTTTATTTATTATTTTATTATACTTTTACAAGACAATATGGGGATTTTCCTCATGCCTCATAGCCTACCGCCTCTATTAGTAATATAGTAGTAGTTAAACAGTTGACTCCAGAAGACATGCCTATGTCCCAGCCCTTAGCACTGTAAATGTGCTGCCATTTTGGAAACAAGAATTTTGCAGATATAATTAAGATGTTAGGATGAGATTATTCTGATCGTAGGATAGGTCTTAAATCCAATAGTAATGGCATGCTTAGAAAAGCAGAATGCCTCAAATCATCAAGTGAAGTTCTCATCAGCATCTCCAGTTCTGAGAATGGGTTACATCTAATCAAGTTGTTGGCCAAAGGGGCCCCATGGAAATCCCCAGACAACCCAGGATACTTCCAAGGCTGTTGGTTGCTCTCCACGAACTGACAGCAAGGCCTCAATGTTGAAGACAACAGCCACATAGGTCACTGAATATGAAGATATTGCACTGGTGCCCACCTAGTGCCTTCACCCCTACTGACTAGTGTTTGTGGTAATAGAAGTTTCTCTGTACGATATCAGGAGAGAAATGTAAATACTTAACCCACTAACCCTTCGATCTACAGTGGCGAACTTCCTACAAGATGCACTAGAACAAAAGAGGCACAAAGCTTGTGGGAGTAACCAACTAATATCTGATTGAATTGAAGGCCCACTCCATTCAGATGGAATCCATTTCTGACACTGTTCAGGTGGCCAAGAACCTGAGACTAGATAGGCCAGGAACACAGGAGAAAATCAAGTACACTGAGCTCATCAGTGTCTTGCTCAGCCACCATCAGAAAAGCTTCCTTCTGTAGGACATGGGAACAAATCCAGAGGCCCACAGCTGGACAATGTGCAGAGAGTGAGAGACCTTAGAACACTTGTTCCTAAGTGAGGTGTCTCCATCAAATCCTTCCCATCAGGGCTCAGGAAATCCTGAGGAAGAAGAGGAGGAGAGATGATAAGAGCCAGAGGAGATGGAAGACACCAAAGGGAAAAGAAAAGTCCTTCTAAACACAGCAGGACTGATGCACGTAGGGGCTCACAGAGACTGTGGCAGCATCCATAGGGCTTACACAAGTCTCACCCAGATGGAGTCCCAGTGCTGCGAGGGAAAGTGGGCAGAAGTCCCCATCAGTAACCCAGAAGCTATCTCCAACTGATATCCTCTTGCAAAGGAAAAATTAGTTTTCTCCAACAGATTCTCACTGGGTATATAAGCCATACACATGGGCAGGCTCAATACCCAGCAGTAGATATATCTGTATTGGCATACAAAACGAACTCAGTGGTATTTTTGAAGGTTTTTTTTTTTTTTAAATCTCATAAAGCTTTGTCATACTTTGGGCATTTTCTTTTACCTTACAGGTCTTTTGCTTAAGGTTTCCAGTTCTGTGTTTTTATGGGATTTCTGTGTGTGTGAATGTGTGTGATTCTATGTCTACGTGTGTTTCTCGTGTTTTTTTCTTTTTTTTCCTGTTTGTTTTGTCCTATTCTGGTTTGTTTGTTTGTTTTTTTATTGTATCTTATTTTATTATTATTTTTAGATGACTGTGTTTTCTAATGAGACAGAGGAAGAAAGGGTATGCGTTTGGGTGGGCAGGGAAGTGGGGGCGATCGAGGAAGAGTTGGGGGAGGGGGGCCTTACCCAGAATGTATTGCATGTAAATATATTTTCAATAAAAGAAAAACAGAAAGGAAAAGCAGAATGCTGTGTGAAATTAGAGCATACAGGGACTAAGGCCATGTGATGATGGAGAGTGAGGCATAGTTGCCGGCCAAGAAATTTAAAAATTGCCAGTACCCTCTAGCAGCCAGCCAGTGAGAAGCCAGGAGGAGCTCTTTCCTGGACTCTTCAGAGGAAGCGTGCGCCTTGATTCTGGAGCTGTGAAAGGATGCCTTTCTCCTCATTTATACCAGCAGGGGATGCTGAGTATGGTAGCCCCAGGGGACCTCTGTGGTTGGTAGTATGTTTGTTAAAATTAATGGACCGGAAGTGGTGTGTGTTTCTCACTAAGATTCACACTCCACTCAGGGTTCCCTGGTTTTACAAACCATGTCTGTGTCCTAGAAGTTTATCTGGACATAACACATTTAATTGTCCCGTTTCTTTATTTTTTTTCTATAAACTGTGACATTATCTCAGATTTTCCTCATTTCAGTGAAAATTTTAGGGATTGCTATTCAAGTATTTTGTAAACGACTCTCAGTTGAGAGTTGACTGATGTTTTGATTGGATGGGTTTGTGAGATCTCAGGAGGAAGACTGCTGAGAGACTTCTAACCTACAGGGCCTATGCTCTCAGCGTAACTTCTCAACGGGGTGTTGACCCTGGTTATTTGGTCACAAATGTCTTCCTTATAAAGTTTTACTTGCTTACACTGTACTTTTTTTTTTTCCAGAGCTGAGGACTGAACCCAGGGCCTTGTGCTTGCTAGGCAAGCGCTCTACCACTGAGCTAAATCCCCAACCCCTTTTTTTGTCTTTTCTTTTTTTTTCCTACACTGTACTTTTTTTTTTCAAAGAAATTTATGTGCAGTCAAAAAGTAGGGAATTTTGCTCTACCTCCCTGAGATTAGAATATTTACAAAAATTAACTAGAGTTCTTCTGTGCAGGAAAATTGGTCTAGTCATTCATTCATTCACTCATTCATTCATTGAAATCAGCATTACTGGTAGATATTTATATTACACTTTGTGTTGTAATCCAGTTCTACTTTCTTACTCCTACCCCCACTGCTGAAGTGGTTTGCACTTTGGCTGCTGGCAACTCCTTTATTTGGCCCCTGGGCCTCTTTCAATGCTTCCTATCGTTATAAGGGTTTCTTGGCAGTCCTTTAATTTTTGGAACTAGAAGATGTTCTAGACATCTTTATTTTTTCTTTAAAGGCAGTTTCTTAATTCCTTACAGTACAAAATGTCCCTGACTTCTTTCCCGATTTGTTTGCGTGATGCATCCTGATCCCACTTATGGGATTAGAAACCAACATCTAAATAGTATGCATGCTTGTTACCACCAAGACATTGTTGCTTCTAGGCTTTGCCAACTGACACAGGAAGAATATGAGTTCCCAGCAGGGCAGTAGCACATATAAACTCACGAGACCTGTGCGAGCCCACGCTAGACAAAATCCAACGTGGAAGTAGGGAGGTGGGCAGCGCTAGCTGAGGAGCTATGAACATTTCACAGCAGCTGGGAGAAGAAAGTCTGTTTTCTTTAATGATGTGACCCCTGACTGATCACAACCCAGGGCATACCTCACCTTCCAAGAGTGGTAGAGCAATACAAACTGGACTCAGCAAGGACAAAAAGAAGAAAACTCAGTGTTGGGTAGGTAGGGCAGTAAGGGCAGAAAGGGTGGAAATAGGAGGAGTGGGAATGAATATGATCAAAATACACTTATGGACTTGACAGAGATTGATAAAAATGTTATTTATAAAAATATGTGTGTCGGTATATACTAACTAATATAAATACATATATCTGTAAAGGTAGCTGTATGTAAGCATCTATATTAAACTAAATGTGAGTTCCTAATCCACTGTGATAAGGAACATTCTAGCTCTCCCTATAAACTCTCACTCCAATAGTGGCAAACTGGCTCCCACCATCCTCCACTGTCGTACTGAGTCTTAGAAGTCCAGTATCCATGGATGGAAGTATCAGGGTTGCTAGTCCATATTCCTGTGGGTACTTCAGCAGCTAAAGCACAATGCCATACTGACTGTTTCTTTTCCTTTAGTTTTACATTCGCCACTCCTTTCCAGTCACTGGGCTCATCATCCCACCTACTTTTATGAGGTTGTTTCACACATTGACAATAGTTAGAATGTTTTGTTTTGTTTTGCATCCCACCCTGGATTCCTCTTTGCTCCCTATGTTTCTGTAAGCTTTGCGTGACATTGAAAGTCAACCTTTGTTCTTTAAAGTTCAATAAGTTTTAACAAATACATAATGTCATGTAGCCAACATTCTGGTAGCATCGCCAATAGTTTTACTTCTCTAAAACAAATCCCTTCTTAGTTTATGACTTTATACTTTACATGATGTCATTATGGTCCTAAATAATATCTTCGTGTGTTTGTATATTTGTGTGTTCTAACTCATTTATATAAATAACACTTTTGCTTGAATTTTTTCTGAAACGGTTATTTGCAATACTATGTAAGTCCCACCCATGGATTATAATTGTTGTGTCTGAATGGCTTTGTAAATGTTCATATATAATGTTTATAATGTTATCTGTTTCTCTCCTAAGGATCACTTAAACTGGGCTTTATTTCCCCATTTAATATGCTCTGTGAATGACCGATGCTTGTCTCCCCATGTGTATATCTAAGAACTTGTTTAGAACACACAGCAAGAAGTGAAATGGCTGAAACAGGTGGCATGCACATCCTCTGCCTCACTGGGACTGCCCAGCTTGTCTCCGGGGTGGTCCACCAGTCCCTCACATCGCAGCATCAGTTAACACTGCTGACTCCACTTGTCTCCCTGTAAGCTGACAGTGCTCCAAGCCAGCTTTCCTTGGCTTTCCGAGTCTGTGTGACAAATCAGGCCATTTTCTCAACAACTAGAAACAATTTGACAGGAGCTTGGGCTTTTAAATTCAGGGGACATTTGTTATTATTTGTTATAATTTTTTTTTATAATTATTTTCAAAGGTGTCTGCATATCCGGGAACTTCAAGGATGTTTTGGAATCTTGCTGCACCCAAATTTGCGATTCCAGAATCAACCATGAGGGAAACTTTATATCCAAAATATGAGGTAATAAATACAGCATTTTCTATATTGTTATTTTTGCTGTTATCTAACAATAAACTTGTATAACTTGCTTCTGAAGTAAAATTTACTGGACAGTTGTTATATAACTTGTCAAGCAGTTATTGCTGTGGTCAGGATTGGTTGGATGATACTTTAGAGATGATTTATATGTGTAAATAATTGTCACATGTATCATTATATGTGCATATGAATGTATTCTTATATTTTATCAAATTGTGGTGTACATATATAAGCTATAAGTATGACTAATGCACTTTTTAAAGTGTTATACTTACTGCAGCTAGACAAGAATAACCTGTTTTCTTTTTGGAAGATTATTTTATTTGTGATTCAAGTTACAAAGTCATGAAGGTTGTGTTGAGAATCCTCATGGTATTTTCATTTATTTTTTGGTACATGACGACAATGAGCATTTATTATCAAATTTTAGTTGATAATTAAGAATCCCTATTAAATTTTCTGGCAGTGGTAGTAGTCTTGTTGATATGTGCCTCACAACGAAGACTTTATAGTATTCTCCTGGAAAACCAGATGGAACGTCTCTTACACTTTGGTGGAAAAGCAAACTTTATTTCAAACCAATCTAGAAGGGCAGCCAGAATGGTGGAAGGGAGCACATGGCCACATGTCCTGTTGGCATGGGCTCATCTGGGACTCCCTCCAGGTCCTGCTTATCAACCAAGCACCTGCTGCATTTTCTCCTCAGGTTGACACTAAAATGGTGTCTGCCAGATGTCCACAATGTCTCAGTTTTCCAAGCATGCCCTCATTTCACAGAATAAGATAGTTAATTCTTTTCTGAAGCTCTGGTAGAATTCTGAACTAAATCATCTGTCCGTGGGATTTCGTTAGTTGAGCAATTTTAAGTCACTGCTTCCTCTCAAAATAAATTTGTTGGGTATGCCCTTGTATGCACGAAGTTACAGTGTCTATGACTACACCCTCAAGACCCAAGCAAGATCAAATCAGCCAAAATCCCAATCTGAAAAAGGGCGAAGGCTCGTGAAGCCCCACCCTTCTACCCGAGGAGCTATCGGCAACTGGTGGAGTGAGAGGGAGTTTTCTTTAGGGATGTTTTACTAAAAAAAAGCTACATATTTGATCCAGGAGAGGGACCTTCACCAATGTCCATAAAGGCAGCACTAAAGGAATTCAGTGGGTTTTAAAAAACAAAACACATCAAATTGGGAGGGAAAAGTTGGGGGGAGGATAAGGAGGAATGGAATCAGGGATTGAGGGGTGTATTTAATTAAAACTCATCTGTATGTATGTATAAAATTCTCAAAGAATAAAAGTTAAAAAACATCAAATAATGAAATAATTGAAAATTGAATAAAAGAAAACTATGCATTGGAAAGCAGTTCTGCATACCCCAAGGCAGGAAGAGAGGAGTTAATATGCTGAGCCAGTCGAAGGTGGATGCCTGCCAACCGGGATGTATCTGGGCTTTCTGAAAAACTATTAGCGTGTTTAAATGTCAGGTAGGAAACAGTGCAGGTGCCAGTGGCCAGCATGACATGCTCTACTGACTGCTTTAACAACTTTGTTTTTCCTATAGGGTTTGGAATGTATGCCGAGTCACCTGGCAGACAAAATGGCAGTTATGACCAAGATGGTTGTCATCACATTGAGTGGCTGCCTACATGAATTATCTCCTTTGTTGATTTTTGTTACCAATAATTTTTGTTTATCTATTTAAAAAGAAAATGCTGGAGTTGATACAGATAGGAGGAATCTTTTTGAAAATTTGAAAGAACTCATTGTTTTGATAGAACTGAACCTTTGGGTTTCTGATAATTTAAATGTTTTCTTTACTCATTGTTGAGCTATTCATATTTAGTAGTTTTTGGGTCAACTCTTAGCTCACTACAGAAATCCATGTATTTTATGTGTTACCTGCTGTATGTGTAGAGATGCATGTATTTTCCTGTCAGTCAAAAACCTCTGTTTGTAATGTTGCATAATTTTACTTCCCATTTCTTCATTTTCATAGCTGTAGTAGGGTTTTTAGAAAGTCGTTTAACTTTCTTGTTTCTTTTCTTTGTTTTCAGTTGTAAAATTTCCCCTTTATCAAACTACTATACACATCCTAGTGAAGAACTATCATCAATACATTTTTAGTGAGATTTACAATATACGATGTCCAAACTGTTAGATACCGTGGCCTGTCAGCAGAAAAAGAAATGGATTCAGTATACCTTCTTTGATTAAAAGTATCTTGGATTAATTATTACATCACTTTTTGCCATTGTGAAAATTAGTTATTTTTCTCTTGAAATTTTTTGATTATTGACTTCGCTGCTTATCATAGAATGTTGATGTAGCACGAATCCTAATTGGTCTTCTAATAAAAACCCGGAGTCAGATGTCAGGGTGAATGCTGAAAGACCAGAGGAAACAAGCCACAGCCACTTCTCACCTCGCCAACTCCTCTGCCGAAAGTGACATCGAACTCCTGTCTCCTCCCGCCTTATATTCCTGTCTCTGTTCAGCCATCACTTCCTGTCTCAACCTTCCTAGTGCTGGGATTAGAGGCATGTGACTCTAAAATACTGGGATCGAAGGTGTGAGCCATCACCCCCGGCTCTATTTCTCTTTTAGACTGGATTAATCTCATGTAGTCCAGGTGGCCTTGAACTCACAAAGATCCATCTGCCTCTGCCTCCCGAGTGCTAAGATTAAAGGTGTGTGCCACCACTGCCTGGCCTCTGTGGCTAACTCTGTGGCTGGCTCTGCCCTCTGATCTTCAGACAAGCTTTATTTGTTAGAGCATATACAAAATATACCACATGTTGATATTCTCTTTAGTTATCTCCTTAATTTTTTTTATTGAATTTTAATTATTTTCTTATTCTTTTAAAGTAATACAAATATAACTTACGACTTGTATAAAGCTTTGAGTTTATTTCACCATCTTTTAGTGTCTTCATTTGTTTTTAAAATAATTTGTTTTGGATGGGATAGTTTTCATTTCTTTGGCCATTCCACTTAGGTGGGAAGCAGTTTCAAAAGTTAAAAATATTATTGATATTATTTTCTTTATTAAAGCTTATTATCAATTATTAATAGCATACAGCATACTTTTTACATTTTTTGAAACTGATTGATATTTGTGTTATGGTTTATTAGCTAGTCCAGTATTCACGAACTCAGCCAGTGGCACTATATATAGTTACTGTTGTTAACCCTGAGCTGGAGAAAGCAGAGCCTAGCTTCTGGAATCCTGGATTCGAATCCTTTTGCTTTCTAGCTAACTCTGTCTATGCTCCTGATGCTTTAGTATATGATCTGTTTATTTATTTTTTTTTTTTTTTTACAGTAAGCAATCATTGGTGGTTAATAGGTTCCACTGTTTTGACACAAAATATGGTGTGAAAGCTTTTGCCTTTGTTTTGTTAAGTGTCTCTTTAAATATATAACACTTGGTATTCCAGTATACTTTTGAATGTCTTATGTGAACATAGGGCAAGCAGTCAGCAGGCCAACAAGCGATGAGGAGCAAGCCAGTAAGCAGCACCCCTCCATGGCCTCTACATCAGCTCTTGCCTCCAGGTTCCTGCCCTGCTTGAGTTCCTGCCTTTGATGATGAACAGAGATGTGTAAACAAAATAAACACTTCCCTCCCAAAGTTAATCTTGGTTAGGATGTTTCATTATGACATTGAAACCCTAAAATGCTGTGACCCTTCTTTAATACATTTCCTCATGTTATGGTGACCCCCAGCCATAAAATTATTTTTGTTGCTACTTTATAACTGTCATTTTGCTATTGGTATGAGTTGTAGTGTAAATATCTGTGTTTTCTGATGGTCTTAGAAGACCTCTGTGAAATGGTAGTTCAACCCCCAAAGGGGTTGCGACCCACAGATTGAGAACTACTACCCTGAGACATACAGTTTTAAAAAGATGAGCAGAATTCAATGCTGATTCCTAAGTTGCTTTAGCATTTTCCATTTTCAATGATAATAGCCTACTACCTTTAAAAACTGACTTTTGAATTTCAGTATTTTTCAACCATAAAGTTAGCACTTCATCAGATAAATAAAGAACAGTATGGTTCTGCTAACCACGAAACTGTCAGCTTGTCACATTTCGGTCTTCCAGTTGTTTCTGAATACCAGAGTCGCTGGCTATAAGATGCATGAGCATAATTTGTATGGTTATTTTTCCTCTTATAATAACACACCTATACTGTAACTTAGTTGGGTGACAGAATTTAAAGATTATGTCATTTAAGGAAACTTGCACTCCAGTTTACATTTAGAGTACTTACTTGTGCTTGCAAATGAAGCCATTTGTTAGCAATAAGGCCTAATTTTGCATCTTGTTAATAATTCTGGTGTTGATATGTAAGACATCTGGTGTTACTCTCTGAGATGTAACGTCACTGATAAGTACTAAGAATTAACATTACAGAAATCAAGTGCACGTTCCCATTTGACTTCAGGCCGGAGCCCTGTTATGGATTCTGCATTAATACATCTCTAGTTGGACGTTCATGCATCACTGGAAGCAATTCTTTTACTACAGGTCTTTTATTTATTTTGCTAACAATGTTGTTCAGTGAAATAGCAGTGACTATAAACACTGAAAATATTCCATGACATTATTTAATACTTAATATAATCTTTTTTATCACAGAGTGTTCAGTCAAGTAGAATCTTAATTGAGAAATTGTCTGCAAGCCAAGAAAGTGTGATTATTTCAGATACATACCCCAGAAGAAGTTTTAAGGTATGTATGACTTTTACTCTGAATTTGAATTGATTACTATGTCTTCCTTTAGCTCGAAAATTATTTCTAGTTACTCTGGAAATCATTTCTTGGTCTTTGATGACTCTGAGGACTGTCTCAGACCAGCCAGCAGTGTCTGTGTGAACAATTGATTCCCACTGTGGTGTTCTTAGAATGCACAGAAGATAGTATTCATTAATCAGTGGCAAGATATTTGTGTGTATTTTTTCCCCTAAAATTCCAGGCTTTCCAATTCCTTTTGCCTAGGACTTAAATGCTTGTGTGTGTGTGTGTGTGTGTGTGTGTGTGTGTGTGTGTGTGTGTGTGTGTGCCGTTTGGCTCAAAAGGAAAGCTGTGTGTAGCCATGGAGCAGAGTCAAAGTGACTGCTGTACATGGAGATTGCATGTACCCCTTCGATTTCTTTGTCCTCGCTGACTATTCATGGCTACTACTTAAGTAGTAAACAGGACTGGAGGTAAGTATGTAATTTATTTTAGTGGCTTATTAATGTCCTAAAATTTAAGGAAGATAACCAAGATACAGTTTTCTTTTTACTAGGGCCTTCAACTCTGTGCTCCACCTTGGCATCTTAGGCTGCTGAGCACCAAATAGAGTTTCAGTGTCCTGGGACGAGTCACATTCCCTTTCTAGTCAGCTATCTAGGCTGACTGTGTGTCTGCCCCTGTCCCGCATATTCCCAGGAAGTACTTTTGGGCTGTAGTAATGATTCTCCAGTCAGTGTTTTGTTACTGGTGTTCCCCCCGCCTCCCCGCATCATTTATTGGCTACTTTTCCTGATGTGTGTTTGATATTTTTATTCCTCACTGGCCTGGGGTGTCATTACCCATATCACTGTTTTATCTGTAGCACCTAGAACATTAGTTGTCTCTCTCTCTCTTTTTTTTTTTTAGGATTCATTTATTTATTATGTATACAGCATGTAAGACTGCAGGCCAGAGGAGGGCACCAGATCTCATTACAGATGGTTGTGAGCCACCATGTGGTTGCTGGGAATTGAACTCAGGACCTCTGGAAGAGCAGTCAGTGCTCTTAACCTCTGAGCCATCTCTCCAGACCTAGTTGTCTCTTAAAAATAACCAGATCGCTCAATTACACACTTTCTGGGTTGGAAAGCCATTTTCATTTTCTTGATTGTGGTGGCAGAGCCTCTCATACCTTCCTGCCATATGGTCTCTTTAGTAGCTGCTGCTTTTCACCCATTCTGCTAAAGTTGGAAGACACAGGTGTGATTACGCCACTGATGTCTGAGCAAACACAGTAGTGGCTCCACCTGCCACATAAAATATACCCAGAGTGCCTACCAAACCTCACAGACTGGTCTCAAGTATGTATTGTTCATACGCTTCTCCATCCATTGAACATCCATGTGCCCTACACTCTGCCTCCACTAGAATCCTCGTGGACTAAAATTGCTGGCAATCTGACATTTCTCTGTCTATGTTGGGGACTGTTCACACGGCCTGGGATGGTCTCAAGATCTTTGCAGTCTGTGGAAATACTTTGGTCCTCACACAGCAGCTATGATGTGTCCAGATTCTTACCTATTCAGAACTGACCTCTTCCTGTTCTCTTTGTACCTGAATCATACCCTGTTTATAGTAGTTGATACTGTTGTTTTGGATTATAGATACTGCTTTTTATTTGGATAGGAAGAGCAAATATATTTGCTTTCAACTCTACTGTGACAGTGATTTCTTACTCTGAATGTAATAGCGCCCACCTTGGTGACATTATAGAAAGTGGTGGTGTTTATGTGGTCCCCTAACCTGAAGTGAAAAGTTGAGGTTTCTTATAATTAAAATGGATTACATAACTTGCAAAAGATTAAGCCAGACAGAATATCGTTATGGAGTGGGAACAGGCTTGTGAGAGTCCACCGTAGCTGACGAGTAATTGGCAATTTATGATTGCTATGGGAGAGAAGGCCTATTTTTCTTCAGGGATGCAGGTCACCAGAGGCTATCTGTGTTTCAGGAGATAGCAGTAAACTGTGCAAATACAGACAGCCCTAGGCAGACTCAGTGGATTTTAAAACCAGAGCACGTGAAGTTGGGAAGAACTGTAGGGAAGGGAGTGGGGGGGGGTGGATCAGATCAAAATACATTGTATGTATGTATCAAATTCTGAAACATTAAGAAAGTAGAAAAAGAGGACTGTTCAGGGGCAAGTATCTTTCCCAGGCCAGCACACCTCTGGAACATTCACAAACCAGTGCCATTTATACCAGCAAGGAGGCTTTGCCCCAGAGTACCTTCACATCACAGGCTCTTGATTTTTGTTATCTCAAGCTGAAATTAAAAATTAGCAACTTCCATTTCTGTAAAAATGACTAAATGAAGTGATAGGTCTTAAGTCCTGCTCTTCTCCATTAAGCAAATGACTTAATAAGTAAGAAAGTATATTTTAATTAGAATTTGTACTTTTTATTAATTTACTAGAATTATCGTTACTCAACTGTTAAATGACACTTTAGCTTGCTGAACAATAACTATGGTTAATGTGTTTTTACTTGATTATTTTACAGTCTTTAATAGTAAAAAAATCTGCATCATATGAGAATATCCAAAAATATTCCAGTGCACCACATACACGATTAAAGGTAATATAACTTTTTGGCTTTTATATTCTAAACTACGTTTGTATTTCTAGCAATAAAAAAACATGTTACGCTCTTTTCCAAAGTTTGAACAGTTATACTATTTCTTATTATTAACTTTTTGTTACTTGTAGTTTCATGATAAAGGAAGTATAATAAATAATGCAGGGCCACTATCTCTATGGATGTGAGTGCATTTTAAATACACAAATAGCTTTTGTGAAATTCTTGCTGGTGGATTTTGGGTTTAAATTCATACACATGGGGTTGCAAACACACACACACACACACACACACACACACACACACGCACACACACACACACACTCACGTTCACATACACACCATCCTTGTGAGATAGTCCAGAAATTCAATTGGTAAAATGCAAGGACCTTATTTCCATATCCAGAATGTGAATAAATGCTGAGTATGATATCTCATGCTTATGGCCCAGCACTGGGGAGACAGACAGGATTTGTAGAATATGATACACTAAAGAGGTTAAACTAAAATTTCCGTGATGTTATTATAAAATTATAATGATTAATGTATAGCCATTGCAAGTCACTTATAATTATTATGTTAATATATTAATGCTAAAATTAGGTTGACTAGCAGATAATAGAATAGAATGGTTTTTGTTATTTAAATTTGCAAACACTGAATGGAAAGTTATTGTAGAGTATATGTTAATAGCAGTGTATAGAAATACGAAGTGGTTTTTAAAATAGACTCACCAATTAATTTTATAAAATAAGGCATTTTAATAATTCAGTATGTTTAATTAACATAGTATGCCTAATTTACAGTGTTTATATGAAAAACAACCAAATTATTGGACTTTATTTTAACCTGCTGTTAACTTTTTTTTTTATTTTTGTTTGGTTTTTCGAGACAGGGTTTCTCTGTGTAGCTTTGCGCCTTTCCTGGAACACACTTGGTAGCCCAGGCTGGCCTCAGACTCACAGAGATCCGCCTGGCTCTGCCTCCCGAGTGCTGGGATTAAAGGCGTGCGCCACCACCGCCCGGCTAACCTGCTATTAACTTTATAAACTGACTTTTGAATAAGCTTCAGAACTTGACGAGACATTTAAAGAACTCAGAACGGAAAGCCTCAGACTATTCTGTAAAATGAAAAGGGAAGGAACGCAACCAAATTTAACCTGTAAGCTATGATTGCTCTGATACCAAACCCCAGAAAACGGCCACCACCACTGCCAGAATTCATAAATCATTTTCTTTGGTAAACTTAGACACAAAAATTCTCAGTGAAATTTAGCTTGCCAACTGGATTCATTAGCACGTCAAGAAGATGGCTAGCGAGGGGACTCAGCAGGTAAGGACTTTTGCCACTAAGTCTGATAACTTGAGTTTGATCCCCAACTCCCACATGATGGAGAGAAGAAACCCAACTCTCACAAAGTATTCTCTGATCATCACACATGTATGATGTCAGGCACATAGAAGATAAATAAATGTGAAGAATTAAAAACCCATACATTAGCCAGGCGACGGTGCCGTGTGCCTTTAATCCCAGCACTCGGGAGGCAGAGCCAGGTAGATCTCTCTGAATTCGGGGCCAGCCTGGTCTACAGAGTGAGATCCAGGACAGGCACCAAAACTACACAGAGAAACCCTGTCTCAACAAAACAAAACAAAACAAAAACAAACAAGCAAACAAAACCCCATACATTATGATCAAGTTGGTTTCATTCTAGTATACAAATGTGTGGTTGGGTATGCAGATCAATATATGTAAGACAACACATAAATAGAATCAGTGATAGAAGTCACACAATCATGTCAATAAATAACAGAGAAAGCATCCATTATGTCAAAATTCCAATGAAATTCTTCAAAGAAATGAAAGAAACCCTGTGTAAACTCAAAAAAAAAAAAAAAAATCCGACTAGCCAAATCAATTTTGAGCCCAAAGGGCAATGTTAGCAGTTATGACAGTCCCTGATTTCAGATGACAGGTAGCATAGCTGTGATGATAAAGAGAGCAGGGTGATAGCACAGAGGAGGGCAAAGACAGCATAGTAAAGTAGAGAACTCACATGGCCACAGTCATCAGGTTCTCAGCTCAGATGCCGAAAGCAGATATTACAAAACTGAGCCTCTTCAACACGTGGTTCTGGGAAAACTGGATATTCACACATAGAAGTTAGATAAAACTAGATCCTTAGGTCCAAAAAACCAATCCAGACTGCATCATGTACCTAATGTAAGACATGGAACTTTGAAATTATTGACAAAAAAACACTCTAAGATATTGGCATGAGCAACAACTTTCTGAATAGGTCCCCAGGAGCTCAGGAAATAATAGCAAGAACTGAAAAAATGGGATTGCACAAAATTAAAAAGCTTCTGTTCAGGAAGGGAACTATTAGCAGAGTAGAGGCAACCTACAAAATGTGGGGAAAAAATCTTTGCCAGATATTTGTGCGATAGAAATTTATATCCAGAGTGTAGGAAGAGCAACAGCCACAAAAACCAAGAGAAGCATCCAATCCCTAAACGGACAAATGAAGTAAGCATGCAATTTTTAAGATTTGAAGTCCAAATCGCTGGTAAGTACATGGGAAAATGTCTGGCATTCTTAGCCACCAGGTAAGTGCAAACCAAAGCTACCCTGATAGTTAATGTCATCCCAATCAGCCTGGCCATTATCAAGAAAACAAATGACAACCAACATTGGGGAGGGCATGGGCAAAGGGAATCCTTGTGCATACTACTAGTGAGAATGTAAATTAGTGTCACTGTGGTGGAAAATCAACAGCAGTTGGTCAGGAGCCTAAAAATAAAGCTACCACATTATCCAGCTTAACTGCTCTCCTGTATGTTCCTGAATGAATCAAAATCAGTATACAATAGGTAATAAGAATAAAAATACCCATGTTTATTGGGGCTCTATTCACAAGTTATCATCAGTCTAGATGCCATCCGTAAATAAGTGAGAATATGTGGAACACACACAACTAAGTAGTATTCAGCCATAAAGGGTGAAATTATGTCCTTTGAGGGGAAATGATGTAGGCTGGAGATCCTCATATGATGTGAAGCAAGTCATATGAAGAAAGATGAATATTGTGTTTCCTCTCATATGTGGATCTAGATTTTTAAAAGACCTGGAAGTCGAAAGGAGACTGTTTGAGAAGAGGAAGGACATCAGGATGAAGGGATAAGAAAAGAATAGGGATGAATGTGGTCAAAGTATATTACATACACGCATGAGAATGTCATGATGAAACTTGCTATTTTGTACAATTTACATATACCAGGGACAACTTTAAGAATATATTGTTTAATATTTATTCAATAAAGCCAAGTCACATTAATTACAGTTGCGATTGTATTAATTTTAAGTGTAGAACAACTCAGCTGATCTCCACCTCTGTTTTATTATTAAGAGATCAAAGTCTACAGCTGAGTTGAGGAAAGAAGAGACCCCACCTCCATTTATAGTTAAGGATGACATAGACAGCAACCTGAAACATCTACTGTACCAGAAGAAGATGGAGCTGGACCGCCAGATTGCCAGGCAAAAGGGAATATTTGAGCCCTCCATCAAAGGCAGCCTGGAAACTGTGCACGAGTCAGAAAGCATGAAATACCTGTCTGTTTCTCTGGTTGAAGAATCACGAAAAGCTGGCATTACCTACATTGTATACCCTAGGAAAAGGAAGAAACTATGGAAGAAAGGATTGAAATTCCAGAAGATTGCACTGGTGTATGAACAGCTATCCAAGCCTCCAAAGAAATTAGAAAGGTTCCGTTCAATTTTTTATGGCTTGCGGAGAGTATTACAGTTTGGGAACTTAATTTTATGATTTCATTCATTATAGTTACTGTTCACTCTCCATGGAAAATATGCTGACTGGAGAGTAAATCTCCCATTTTAAAATATGTAGGCATTTCATAGTATAAATACGCAGATTGTTTAGCTTCCTATTTTAAGACTGAATCCATTTTATGTCTGAAAGAGTCTCTCAGTGAAAAGAAAAAAAAATGTAACAATACATTTGCTAAACTTACTTGATGCACAGGTCCAATCCCTATTCTAAATGAATACCATCCATTCCAAAATCAAAATAGATTGCTGATATTTCACTGCTTTCAGATTTACATTTTTGTTGAATTGTGTAACAAATATAACAAATTTAAACATTTTGTGTGTTGTTGAGCCTTTATTCAAGGATCAACACACAAATGTAATTATGTTTTCACCTCCACTGGAGGTAATAACAGCTGGCATATTTTCAAAATGTGGAGAACCTGAAGTGGGAACAGTGCCCGCTCCTGGTATGTCCATGTTTACTGTTTAAGGCACAGATGCTTCTTGTAACCAATGCATCTTACAGAAGTTTCCAGTGATTTCCCTTTAGATTGCCTCAGGTGACAGTCTGTTAAACTCATGCGCACTTGGAAAGTAAAGACTTTCCTGGTGACAAGTGGTAGAAATGTTTCATTTACTTTGTTATTAAGACATGCTGGCTCTTTGGTGTGGCGGGTGACTTATTATCTTGGGACTCTGGAACTTAAAGCTTTGTGGGAGACAGCAGAGACATAGGCCAGCTGTAGTGCGGGAGTTCTCCTGTATGCTGATCTCCACTGCTCCAGTGTAGCAGGAAGATTTAAGGAGGGTTCAGATAGAGTTTTCTTAGTTGAAAAACATCCCCTAGGGAAGAATCAGACATTTGCTGTGTATTTTTGATACATTTGCTGATTTCAAAGTATGAGCCTTTGTCATCGTAGTAAAAGACAAGACCACACCATTTTGACTGCTCCTCGGGTAACAGCAGTCTAAATAAATGGTGTAATAGCACTTTCCGGGAGTTTTACAATGCATAAAGACATCTTGAATACTAAATTTCACCATTTTAAAAATTTACTTCAAAATTTATTATGAAAGAGTTGCAAATAAAAAATATCACAGGCTGAAATCAACCGGACCCAAAGACTGTAGGAGTCAGTGAACGTCTATATAGTCAAAGTAGACATTGGTAGCAGAAACTGTGGAGCGTCACACTGGTGTTTATACTTTTGATCCCAAATGCATTTTTGTGCACTTATCCACCACCCCAAACAAAAATCCACGACACAGTTAGAACCAGAAAGTCAATTACCTTTATGTCCTCTTTTATAACTCTGTCCACTGCCTGTATTCTGTCTTTCCTCATCCCCTAATATGCCTTGTTTTTTTCTACATGTTATACTTTTGTATGTGTACATTTTGGTATATATCAATGCTGTTGAGCTTTAAAGAAAAGCAAAATAACAAAATTTGCAGGACAATGGGAGATTTAGAATGTACAATTTTAAGTGAGGTTACACAAACCAAGGAGGAAAAACCATGCTTGTGCTCCCTCAAAGTGGAAGCTAGCTAATGTTCCCCATTTAGAGAAATTTGCCTCTTAATAAGCTGCCTTAAAAGTTGCAGATGCTGGGACGTTCACAGCAGGGAGTGTAGGAGGGACCTTTCTGCACCACCAGCAGTGAAAGAGCTGTTTGTATCCAGGGTGGTACATCAGGACTTTCTATTTCCCTTTGAAATCTTGAAGTAATTTATGTTTCAATGTGGATAGGAAAGAATAGTTAGCTCAAAAGAAGTTAGGGAGCACCTTGCAGATAATTTTATTTCCGTATTTAGGACATTTTTTCACTCAGTTTGGTGACTGAGAAGTATCATTCTTACCGTTTACATCTGGCTTTCCTCTTGTTGAGTGGCAGTCATTCTTGGCCGACTCCCTTCAAGACTGGAAATGGACCACACGTGCTTTTACATATCAAGGCAAATCTTCACTCCGGAAGGTTATTCCTGCAGAAGGTCATTTGGACTCAAGTCCGAGACTCATGCATTTCCCTTCAGCCCCCTCGAGACAGGTTGGCCCTGTTACTTCCCTCCTCAGCTGGGAAATGGCAGAATGCCACAGACCGACAATCATAGCGAGGCTTTGCTGTTCCTCTAGAAGTTATCTTTGACTCTGAGCCCCAAGTCGTGAGGCTGGCCAGTGAGGGACAAGAGGGAACCATTGGTAGATGATGTCTTTGCTCCACTGGCAGGGTTCAGCTTTTCCTTATTCTGTTTCTTTGAAAACCAGAGGCAGTTCAGTTCCAGGAACAAGGATGCATCAGCTATCTCCGAATCTGTATTCTAGCTGCCACGCACTAGGCCCTTGGTGACCAGGCCATGCCGCTTTATTTCATAGGCTGTTTCCTCATCTGGAAGATGTGCTTATCTGCTGAAGTTGCTTTGAGCTCGAAAGTCAGAGTAAAACCAACTTTATCCTTATACAAATGGAATATCTTGAGTAACACATTTAAGCTGTTGAAAATTTCCCTGTTTCCTTCAACAATGTCACATCTCACCTCAAGCTAATTACGTGTACACAGATTCCACCTTGACAGCCTGGCCTCCCTCCGTGGCAGATGAAGGAGCAGGTTACTTTACTGTGTTCTTCCTTCTAATGAGAAACCGTGAACCATACTCTTGGCTCTGAAAACGTGGATCTAGACTTTCTGATCATGCTTTTCATTTTTTTTCTTCCCTTTTAATTTGGGCTATTTAATTTAAATGATCCGAGACTATAGCCTTTCCTTGTAAAAGTTCACCCATTATCTGTATTTGCTTTTTACATTCTTCTAGAGACTTGCCTAGCAGGTTCTAGTTACTTTAAGATATTATAATTCTTTTTATCAGCTAATAAGATAATACAGGCTCATTGTAAAAAATTTAGAAAATATTGCAGTCCGGTCACTAAATCACCATTAACATAGTTTTGAGTGGGCATATACAAACACAGTCAAACAAACCTGTGGGGACAGATTAGCCTTTCTGCCTGTGCTTGTATGTGAAATGTGTGCTTGCATAGTATATTGAGCATACGGGATTCTATCCATCAAGCTCTGGCATTGATTGTTTCTGTGATGTAGGTAGTTGGTGGGGATGGGTTGAGAAGAGACTTCTCTGAGGTTTACTAATAAGTAAACTACACTGATTTTTTTTTCTACTGGACATACATTTATGGTTAAAAAGTAACTTTTTGATTTTCTTTTCAAAAAGTCTTTTGGGGGAAATCAGTTGAAGGTGGGATTTCTCAAAATCTATCTCTATTCACTGTGTCTTGCAGAGCAGACCAAGGGGCTCTGCAAATTAAAACATAACTGTGCTCTTTCCCAGATTTACAGGGCTGTAAATGAAATACACATACATTTTAATTTCAAGTATTTATTTTGCGAAGGGATCTTAGAACTGATAATCACTTTGGCTTTAAAGCGGGAACGTACTGCAGACGAAGGAAGAAGGGAGCAGGTAGTGAAGGGAAATTGTTGCTTTAGTCCAGCAGTTCATTTCTTCAGAGGAAATTTATTGAGCACCTTCTGTATACCAGATACTCTTCTGGATAGACAACTACCGATGAGGACAGTGAAGAGTGCTAACCAATCTCCTGCCCTCATAGAGTTTATAATCCAGTGGGAAAATGATAGTGGAAAGATGAACTCATGATCTTAAGGAAGCGATAAGTATTATGAAGAGAATAAGGCAGGGCAGCAGAAGCTACTGTGTTAGACAGTGTTTGGATGCCTCTATGACTTAGAACTGAATGGTATGGAGGAATGAAGTGTTTAAATCTCTGAAGAAAAGGTAAAAGCAAGTGCAAATGCCCTGGGGTAGAGGATATGCTTATTGTTTTCGGTCAGCACCCAGACCAGTGTCTGGAACACAAGAGATTGGTAAAAAAGTAAGGTCAAGGAAGCATTTGGGGATAATGGCCATGGTAAGTGAGAAATGTAAAATTACTCATAAGGGTGCCCAGCAGTCAAGGCTCTGGAGATGGCTTAGAGGGTAAGAATGCTTGTACACGCATAGGATCGTGAGTTCAAATTACCAGCACCCACATAAACATTATGGGCATGGGTGCATGTGCCTGTAACCCTATCATTGGGGGTGAGGAAAGGCAGAGACAGGTGGGTCTCAGCAGCTCACTAGCTAGCTAGCATAGCTGAAATAGAGCTTCAGGTTCAGGGAGATACTGTGGCTCAGGAGTAAAGTGGCAAATGACAGAGGGTAACAACCAACATCCTCCTCTGGCATCTGCGTGTATTTGTGAGTATTTGCGCCCACACATACTTGTGCACATACATACACACACCATACACACACACATACATTTGAAAAAAAAAAAGGAAAACGTGTGTTTGTAAGTCATTGTGAACTTGAGAAGAGGATAGAGATGTTTGTAGGCTATGATAAATATTTTGGATCTTTAAATACAAAAAGGGACCTTGAGAGTGGAGAGAAGTTTGCTGAAATGATCAAATACATATTAGAGAAAACTCACTGGGGGGGTGGTATGGGTTAAGAAATCGTCATGGAAACACAGAGACCCACAAGAAAGCCATTGAATGATCCATCTGAGAAATGGCTGCTCGGTCTGACACGATAGCAATACAAGTGGTTAAAAAGTGGCCATATTCTAGACAGATGTTGGGAGTACAGCCAACAATATTTGCTCATGGATATGAGAAAAAAATGAATTCAGGATACTCTCAAGGATTTTTACTGGCACCATTGAAAATATCAAAAGGTTGTTCCCAGACAGTCAAGATTGTGCAAGGAGCAGGTAGGCACAATGACAGTCGGACAGAGCACTAAGAGGAACGTATATCAGTTTAGCTTTGCAGATCACAGTGACATTGTAGGACAGGTAAGATGGTGGGTAGGCCAGCAAAGGTGGATAGTTCTGCTCCTGCTGTGTACACGTAAGCTTCCCATGATGCACCATGTCACAGCCATGGAAAAAGAAAGCCACACCAACAGCTGCAAATCACATGCCAGAAAGTGTGACCATTGCTTTAGTAAATATAGTTCCCACATCTAGACCTAAGGTGGCCATTGTAATCAACACTTGATTAAATTTACATTCACTCTAAGTTACAGTAGTTTTCTGTCAGACATTTGGCGTTTTTAGCACTGGGCAAACAGGAAATGGAGATGTGGAGTGGTCACCTGTATTTGTCTTTGAAATTGCTGATGGTGCCGTTATTATGAATATGATTTTTTTTCAGTGATCTGGTGGATTTTATCGTGTGCCATCTTAGTGCACGATGGTGTGGGGTGGGATGGGGCACCTCAAGAGACTCCTGCTTGGTCTTTATTACCATTATCTCCTTGTCCACACTACATTCCTTCTGAGTCACTCACTGCTGCCACATGTTCCACGATGAGAAAATGACTACACGGTGGGGCTTCATAGGTCCATTATTAGACAGTCCAGGTCTAGTAATAGTCTTCCTATCACTTGATTAATTAGTTCCTTAATTTTATTGATGGACTCGGTGCCATTGGGTACTGATAAGTTCAGAGTGAGCATCTACTGACCTCCAGAAAATCCAAGTATTTGTGTTTGGAATCTCTTGGTGGGAAATTCATGGATGCATGTGTTACATGGTGGGGTACTCTCCTTGGGATCTGGCCTGTGCTCCATGACCAATGAGGTTTTAGCCTGTGAACTCTTTTGGCCCTGAGATCTGGGCAAGAGGACATGACTCTCAAACATGCAGCTATTTCGTTTTATGCCCAGCAGACCCAGAAGTTTCTTGCTTATCTAAGACAAACAATACCTTTGCAGGCTGCCCATCTGTCACATCCCCGAGAGACCATAGCCATTTAGTTATTGCCGCAGGTCCTTGCAAAGTAAAATGCTCTTATCACCTTGATGTTCCCGTGGGTAATTGTCGTAACTGTGTGCTTGGTGCCTGCAATAGCAGGGCAGTTTTAGCTGGGATTTGCCCCTCCACACTTCTCCTGTCAGCCCTGCTGTGACCACTGGACCACATCAGCTCCTTCCTGGTCCTCCAGCTGCCCACCTCTGCCTCAGCAGCTGTAGTGTTACTGTATGTGCCTTCACCTTTACATTTTCTGTTGTCCCTCCAGGGGCTAGAGCTTGATTAAGGACACGCCACATTCTACAGATCAATTCTCAGATCCACGAGGGTTCGAGTTCACTCTTCTATGGCAGGGGTTCTTACAGTGTGTTCTTGAATCAGTGTGTTTTATGTGGAAACTTGTTAGGATGCACAAACCCCAGGTCTCCACCTGATGCTTGCTAAATTAGAGATTGGGAAGGCCCCCAAATCTGCATTTCAGCAAGCCTCCCTGGGTGTTTCTGATGCAGGGTAACTTCCAAGACCATTGGCTAGGCATTGCCAGGGTAGTGTAACCAAGACAGAACTAACTAGGGCCAGCAGCCACTAATCTAAGGACATATAGTAGAGGATGGATTTGGGAGGGTGAGGGGCTGGCAGCTATGGTTCTGCAAGAGTATCCACATCTCACAGCCGAGAGACTTTGGGGAGCGCACAGATTGTAGTTCAATGTAGGTATGAGGCAAGTATGTGACAGTATAGTCACCAAAAGCTACTTATGCAGGGGGAGATCACATCTCACAGATGAGGGATATGCCTTCTCTCAGTCAGTTCCTTCTGTTAGGGAAGATAAGTGCAATTTGGGGGAAAAATCCCTTTTTTCCATGTCCGTTTTGTGTTCACTCTCTTACCTTGGTGTACTTAAGGGGTTTGGACCCTCAGTAGGTACTACCACTATTCTGTTCTTCTAAAGTGCCTCACTCAGCCCTCATCAGTGAAGCTTCCTCCTGTAGTAGATGGGCATCAACACAGAGACCCACAACTAGACAATGTACAGAGAGTGAAAGACTTATTAAGTTGCTGTATGTCTTAGGCTTCCTCTTTCTGTGATGAAGCACCATGACCAAAACTAATTTGGGGAGGAAATTTGTCTTACTCTTCCACATCATAGTCCATCAGTGAAGGAAGTCAGGACAGGAACTCAGACAGGGCAGGGACCTGGAGGCAGGAGTTGATTCAGAGGCCATGGAGGGGTGCTGCTTACTGGTTTGTTCCTTATGCTTTACTAAGCCCACTTTTTTTTTTACAGAGCCCAGTATCACCAGCCCAAGGGTAGCACCAACCACAGTGGACTGGGCCCTCCCACATCAATCACTAATTAAGAACATGTCCTACAGGCTTGCTGACAGCCCTATCTGTCTCGTGGAGGCACTTTCCCAATTGAGGTTCCCTACTCTAAGATGGCTTTAACTTATGTCACACGACATAATACTATCCAGCACACTGACCTCCAGGCAGAGCATATGAGAATGGCTTGCACTGAAATGTGGAGTGGAGATTCTAAGAAGAGACTTTAAAGAATGGGAACCTTTTCCTTATTTTATTCTCCGACTTTGGCATGATGACTTCCTTACAAAATAAACTGAGTAAATAAGAGATGATGGGGTGAAACTTTTCTCCAAACTTCCAATAGAATGTCTTTATCCTGTCTCCCTTAGCTACGACACTGCCACACATACAGCCAATGCTACTTAACGAAAGCTCTGTTGCCAATGGAGGACTTGAGGAGGAACCGGTAGCTGCATCATTTGAAAGCATCTGAATGATCCAAGTTTCATAGTTTACTGAAGACATAAACCTCAAGTTCTTATCCCTGGTAGCCTTTGAGAGAAGAAGCATGTCCTTTGTCCCTTCCAGCTTACCTCCTAAATTCCCCGCCGCAATCGTGCTGGTAGAAGATGAGGTTGTGAATTAGATCAGAAAGGAGCACCGTTGTCGTTATTCTAGCATCTAGGGAGGCTGCCCCACTAAACATGTATTTCCATTTAGTTTACAGAGATTCTTCCTATTGTGTTACAGCTTTGATGATTGAAAAAATGAACTTGAATTACATAAATTAGCAATTTCTGATAATAGAAAAATAGTAACTTTATTTGTGATTGAGTTAAATCATTGATCAGAAAGATAATTGTGCTTCTGTAATTAAAAATTAATCATTCTTTTTGAAACTAGATCAACATCTCATGGAATACTTCCTGGACAGAAAAAATTTTTCCTTAAAGTTCCAGTATACGAACGTCAAATAAGGTCTCCCAGTGTACCCATGATTTTAAATTTTGATAAATTTGTTCAAAGTAAAGGAGGAATACCAGAAAATACTGATCCTCGAACATGGGTTATTGAGATGTTTTCTAAAGAGAAACCTCAGAAAACACGTGCACCAGTTATACATATTCAAAAAGACATCCCAGAACCAGTGGCAGAGCTCCCCAAACTGGAACTAAATGATCATGTAAAGTGTGACCTTCCACCAGAGGTCATTAAGTATTATGAGGCTGAAGTGGAGAGGTTGACTCAAGAAATAAAAAATGAGAAAAGAAATCCTGTGTTCGCATATTGTAGGCGTGGAGCTATTTACAGAAAACTGGGAAAGTTGCAAAGTGCCATGAATGACCTCCAGGAAGTAAGTCTTAAAGAATAAAAATAACACAACTCACCATTTACATTGCTTTTCTTTATACAGTAGTAATTTTTGTTGAGATATTGAACAGCGAATGATTGTAGTACAGTTTATGGGGCTGTGAAATACAATTATTGGCATTTTCAAATACTTATTAAAAACACTAGACTTTTGTTTTTTGATTTGGGAGGCTTTATTTTATGTTGTATGCATGTAAAGCCACTGATATCAGTGATGTTTGAAAAACTCATTTAATGTTTTTTTCCCCTTTGGAAAATCAACTTAACCAATTTTCTTTATACATGTGTTTTTCAGACCATATTTGTGGAGCCATTGTTTCTAAATGCCTATTGGCACAGACATTTCATTTATCTTTTCCAAGACAAAATTAATGATGCTTTGGATGACTTGAATTTTATAAATAAATATAATAAAAACCATGCAGGTGGGTTGCGAATGGAAACAGTTACATTACCCATCTCGTCTCTTTATCTCAACTTTTGTCACTCTTATAAATAGAAATAAACTGATAGGTACAAGTTCTGAAATATGGTGTGACTGCTTTAGTTTTGGAGTTCATGTAACCTTACATTGTTTTCAAATAACTCATTCTGTTTGAATTTCTTTTCTGGAGACCTGTCTCACAAAGAGAATATGAACTCCAAGTTGTAGATCGGTGTCAATTTGTAAGTCTTTTCATGACCACAAGTTTCAGAACGAGAGCTGTGCTACTTTGAAGGCCTTGGAGTAAATGAAATCCATACCTGTCGTATGTGCTGCTTTCTAATTGCCCAAACTTTTAGACACAGAACTTTCTAGAAATGTGGAATTGTCATACCCATCTTTAAATCCACGGCACTCACAGATCCACATGATATAGCACAAGCTGGCTAAATGTTTTCTGATCTGTGTTGGTCTGTATGCTAAAAGTCCATACAACGCTGTGTCATTCAAACCTAACTTTTTACTACAATTGTTAAGACTGAAACATTTTAAACAGATACAGAGGTGAGTGTTAGTTTTACCACTTCAGTGTAAGACTACTTGAAACTGCAAATGAATATTTAGACCTCGAGAATAAATTAGGTGTGAAACTTAGGATGAATGAAATAAAGTATACTAGTAAAAACCACTTGAGGACTTCAGTTTTGAGCAGAGTTGCTGCTATAAATTCTCACAGTTAATGAAAAGATCATAAAACGGAGTTTACCTTTCATCTTTAGAGGCATACTTGTCAAAGGCAGAGATTTTCAGAGAGAAAAAGGACTACACATTGGCGATTTTGAATTACAGCCAGGCAATTAAGTGCAGGCCCAAAGACGCTGACCTTTATTTCAAGAGGGGGGAGTTGTATGAGAAGACAAACAGCGTGCTGGCCATTGATGACTATTCAAAAGTAAGCTTTACAACGCCCCGTGCTTCCCTTGATTGATTTTGTACTGCAAACATTCTTTTTAGACTTATTTTAAGGGTGTTTGGCCTGCAGGTATGCGTCTGCACCAGGTGCATGTCTGGTGCCCGCAGAGGTCAAAAGACCATCAAGGTCCTAGAAACTGGAGTTACAGATGGTTGTGAGACACCACATGGGTGCTGGGAAACAAACCCCAGGTCTTCTCCAAGAGCAACGAACTGCTAACAACCACTGAGTCGTCTCTCCAGCTTCCTAGCCAAAGTTTTTAACAGTCATCACCTGTCTTACAATCAAATTATGTTAGGAACTAGGATGTCCATTGCCGGTTTGCTGTTATCACCAGTTCCATGACTTAAACGCGTTGGCAGATGAATGGAAATCAAAGGTAGGTGGGAAACACTGAGGCAACCTCAAAGAAGTCTCAACTTCTCCGGTTCTCTATTCTTGGACTAAGAAACGTGGTTTTTAGAGGCCTTTGAAAATTGCCTTTTCTCCTTACATAATAGAAGACATTGCTTTCTCCTTTTGCTAAACTCTTGAACAGGTTCTTGAAGAGGCTGTGATCACAGACTCATTCGCTCTTTCATTTACTCGCAAATATTTGTTGACTGAGATACAGCATAATATAGTAGATAAATGGTGAATGATATAGAAATGTTTCTGGATTATGCAGATCTCAAAGAAAAGTTACTTAAGGGAAGATAGACACACATACATGAGATATGAAATTATGATAGTGCCATGAAGGAAAGAAGGTTGGGAGGGAAGTGTGTGTATTTGTAGGTGCTGGGATGCCCAAAAGGAAGTGAGCTTTTGATTGAATCACACCTTGAGGCTGCCATCAAGGAACAGGTTTCCCCTGGCTCCAGCAAGACTTTCTCATCTACTGACTTTTAACTATAAATCTTAGTCCCGAGTGCAATGGACAAATTAAAGGAAATTACTTAAATTATTGATTTGTGCATATTCCCAACTGCCATGTTTCTTCCTGGGTTAGCTTAGCAAACTTCTATTTAAGGCAAGTATTATTGGTCTTGTAGCTTCTGATCTAGAAGTCACCAAAAAATCTCTTTTGAAGATGCAAGTAGCATTACACATACTGAGTAGGTTAAATTATGAATATATACATAGATGTGTATATAGGTATGCATGTATGCATATCCATACACATACATATATGCATGTAACAATTAATAAAAAAAGAGATCATGAATTTGAAAGAGAGCAAGGAGGAATATATGGGAGGGTTTAAAGGAAAGGAAGGGAAGGGAGAAATGGTGTAACTATAATCTCAAAAGTAAAGGAAAACATTTTAATATTAATAATTATTGATTCACCTCACTTTCTGCATCTGACACCAACAGTTTAGCAACGGATGAATATAGCGGCCTGAAATCAAACAATTCTCAATCTGCTTAGCATAACATCCCTGGAGACCTTCTCTGTGCGGCAGGCAGTTCCTTCCTGGCGTCAACTGGCAGGCCACAGCCCAGCTGAACATACGGTGACTCTGCCCTCTGCTGCTTCGCACGGCAGTGTGTAATTATGAGCCACGTCTCTGCCATTTCATTTCTTCTTCTCACATTAGGGACGAGATGAAGCCATAGTCTATATGGCTGAATCAGCTCAGCTCTACCACCTACTGCTAGGACAGAATGATAGGAGACAATGCAACTCCACTCTTCAATTCTCTTGTTTTTGAGATTATAATATAATTACATCATTTCCCCCTTCCCTCTTTTTTTTTTTCAAACCCTCACACATATCCCTACTTTGTCTTTTTAAAATTCAGGGCCTTGTTTTTCATTAATTGCTGTCCCATGCATAGACATATGTGTGTGTGTGTGTGTGTGTGTGTATTCCAAATTGTTTAGTCTGTAATGTTACTTCTATGTATTTTGTGAGGGCTGAGCATTTGGTGTTGGATAACCAATGGTGTGTTCGTCCCTGGGGAAGACCGTTTCTTCTGCTCTCAGCTTTCCTTAGTTGTCTGTACTTCTTCGTGTATAGATGAGGCCTCCTGGTCTTTCCCCACCCACCTAGTCATGTCTGCTATTGCTGTCCTCATGCGGCTCATGTTTAGGCAACCAGGTGGGTTAGACTTAATGGGGGTAGCTTCTGACATTACTAGGAGACACAGGAATTTTTTTTTTTTAATCAGTGAAAGCATCAGGAGTCAAAAGCTTTGGTTTCTTGTATTTACTGTTTGTCTTTCCTTGTGGGTGATATTTCCCCCTCAAGAATTTGACGACGGTACATTTCCTAATCTTTAAACACAAATGTGAAAGTGCGTTCCTCTTGTGTAATTTGAAGTTGGCTATGCACTCGTTTTAGTTTTTTTTTTTCTGATCGTGTGATATGTTTGCATTCTCACACCCCTCTAGTGTATTTTCTACGATCCCAAGAGAACAGATGCATGGATGAAACGTGCAATGCATTGCTTTGAAAATGAAAACTGGATTGGAGCCATATATGATTTTACAGCTCTGTTAAAACTTGAGCCCCGAAATACTCATGCAAGGTAAGAATTACTTTAGATGAAAAATTTCAAAATGACTTATTATTTAAATGTATTTTCAGGAAAAATTGCTGCACGTAATCTGACAGCCATTTTAAAACAATGAGCTAATTCCAGTGTCAAGTTAATTTTTGCATTTCCAAGTGCTAACCACTTTGTGACTATATAAAGCATTTCCTTCTTTACATTTCTTTTTCATTCGTCACCTTTGTGTCCACTGAGTACAGAGATCTGTTCAAATACATTTCTGTAATATCTTATTGTAGCGTGTATATTAAGCTTCACTATTTATTTTTTGTTTATTTTATTTTATTTTATTGTTTCTTTCCTTTTAATGAAAATAGATTTTTTTCTCATATAATATACCCTAAGATTACAATTTCCCCTCCCTCTTCTCTTCCCAGTTCCTCCCCACCTCCCCTCCTATCCAGATCCACTCCCTTTCTATCTCTCATTAGAAAACAAGCAGGCTCCTAAGGGATTATAGTAACATAAAATAGAATATAATAAGATAAAACAAAAGATAACACACAGGAGTAAGACAAAACAAACAGAAGGAAGCAATCCAAAGAAAAGGCACAAGAAAAATACCATATATATGTATATGTATATATATGTATGTATATGTATATATATATATTGGTGAAATTATTAAGGCCACTCCACGTAGTTAAAAGGAAAGTTCATTACTGGCGTAACTTACAAATGAAGGGATAGGTAGGTCGCAGGGTCTGGGGAAGGTGTATCGCAGTCCAGTGGTATTCTCTGGAGCTCTGCTCTGTCAACCTCTACCGTCCAGGGTCCAGGAACAGAGAGAGCTCCCCCATCTGGATCTCGGGTCTTCAGGGTCCTCTCTTGGCCCCGCCTTGTAGGCGTGACAGTTACCGAAGTTTCAATGGGGGTTGAAACTTCCAGATCAAAGCTGGAATGGCTACCCACTACATCTCCCCCTTTTTGTCTAAATAAGAAGGTTCTAACCTAATTCAAGACTATATACAAAGGAATGGTTATCAAATATTGTCCAGGAATAATGAGGGATAATGATAAGATGGAGCTACAACCAATGCGAACAATATCAAGCAAGAAACACATACTAAAATCCAGAGAAGTCTAGAGCATAGGTAAATGGCATGTTACAAAGATCATTCCAAAAGGTGTCCTATCCTAAAGAACCTGAATCTAATACTTAATATGTTCTATCTAAGATTATATATATATATATATATATATATATATATATACTAAGTTATAACTATAACTGCTAGTCTTCAATCCCATCAAAGACCTGAGAAGGAATATAATGGTACCTGAGAAATGGTAGATGGATGCAAGCAACTTTCGGAAATCTTGCAAGAGTAGACCGAGACAGCTGGCAACCTGGACAGTCACCTAATGTTTCTCCGCATTGTTGGTGCATTCAAATTGGCTACAGGCCTAGATTATCTGACAGACCATTTTCAGAAGCAGAAATTCTGAAAGACCATCTTACCCTGTCTTGGCAGAGTACAGTGGTCGCTTTCCTTGTGTCCCGCTTGTCCAGAAAGGACAGCATTCATACTGTCAGCAGTCGAGGCAAGGGCAGTTTTTTGCCCAGCAGGCCATTTTGTGCCAAGAAGACAAACTTCCAAATGGAAATGTCTTAGAAACCCAACATTCTCTCGGGATCAAATTGGTGCTGCCAGGAGCAATTGTGTCTCTCACATCAATAGAATTCTAAGTTATTTAAATGCCATATTTTCTAGGTCTATGAAGTGTTTAAAGATTACCTGTCCATCTGACCTATGTATCTGTAAATCTGGATAACCTAGCTAATGTAACTATAGAGATGACAAGCATAGGTGACTATAAATCTATAAGTCTTATCTACAGAAATAACCTAAGGACTAAGGCTTCATGTAAACAATTGAATATCAAGAAAATAATTTGACTTGAAAAACGGGCACAGGACCCACGTTCAGATTCCTCAAAGGATAATGAACAAAAATTGGTAATTGACATGAACAACTTCAGTGTCCCTGCTGACTAGAAAATTTCCAGCTAAAACCACATCGACAAGTCACCACACACCTGTAAGAAATGGCTATTAATAAGACATAAAAGGTGTTTGTGAGTGGGAGGGGAATGGGTTAAAAATGTATAGTTACATTTAGGGCGTGCGCGCGCGTGTGCGTGTGCGTGTGCGTGTGCGTGTGCGTGTGTGTGTGTGTGTGTGTGTGTGTGTGTGTGTGTGACAGTCAATGTGCAGGGGTCAGAGAACATGTTGTGGAGTCTGTCTGTCCTTCTACATGTGGGTCCTAGTGACTGATTTCAGGTCGTTAGGCTCTAGAGCAAATGCCATCACATGGTGGACCATCTCACCAGATGAAAAGAATGAATTTTAATCTAAAGAATGAAATGCTTTTATGTACTCAAATTTATCAATCTTCTGTCAGCTTCTTTAATTTTAGAAAGTGGATCTCTCCTTTGAGATCAGATTAATAATTTTCCCACAGTCTAATGTAACTTTTAAATTTAATTTTCTTATTTGATGTGTAGGGCCATTTTATGAGCATGAGTATGTCTGTGTACCACATGCATGCCTAGTGTCCTCAGAGGCCAGAAGAGGATATCAGGTCTCCTGAAAGTGGGGTTCCAGATGGTTGTGAGTCAATATGTGGGTGCTGGGAATCAAACTCGGGTCCTCTGGAAGAGAAGCCAATACTTTTGACTACTGAGTCATCTTTCCAGCTTCTCATAATTATTTTAAAGGTTACTTTAAAAATTTTTAGATTTGTGTTGATGTGTATTATGAGGTAGGGACAGCTTTTTTTCAGATGGGAACCAATGACCCACATAGTATTTACAGAATGATACTTCCACCATTTACTTTACTAATTTTACACATTAATTACATACATATATTATGAGATGTGTTTCTTTTCAATTGTCTTTATATTCTCATATTAATATATTTATTTAAATTTTAATTTTAGATCGTATTTTTGCTTTTGTCAGTTTTTTTCTGATTCTCCCTCAATTTAGATTTGACTTATTTTATTTATCTGTCTGTCTATCTATCTATCCATCCATCATCCACTCATCTGTCCGTCTGTCTGTCTGTCTATCTTTCTATCAATCTGATGTAGTATATGATTTATTTACGTAAAGGTTAATGACCCCTGTATTATTAGAAAATCCCATTTGGTGATCATGTATAATTCTTTTAATATGCTGTTACATTCAGTTTTCTAATATTTTGTTGATGATTTAAATATATATTAGTGTAATATATATAAATTAGTGTAAACTGGTCTGTAGATTTCTTGTGTTGTCTTTTGTGGCTTTGATAGTGGGGAAACATTGGTAAATGGCTGAGTAAGTCTTTCATTTGTTGAGCGAGTGAAGAAAGGACAGGTTGATTCTTTAATATTTGGTCAAATTTATCTATGGACCCTCTGGTTTCAGCTATGTTTTTAAAATTACTAATTCAGTCTTTTCACTTGTCAGTGCTCTATAAGGGCTATCTATTTCTTATTGAGCCAATTTTGGTAGCTGGTGTATTTCTAGGAAGTTGTTCATCGTATTTAGGCTGGTGTCATACCTTTTTGTCCTGGGGTAACAGAATATATGAAACTGAGCCATTTACAATCATCAATTTACATTCCTACCAACAGTGAGTAGAGTTATTCTTACCCAGTGTCCTTATCAGAAATTATTGTAATTTGTATTCCTGATAATAGCCATTCTGAGCAGGACTAAGATAGACTCTCTAAAAATTATAGGAATATGTGTGTGTGTGTGTGTGTGTGTGTGTGTGTGTGTGTGTGTGTGTGTGTGTGAGTGTGTGTACACATACAACAGTAATTAATGAAAAAAAAGCCATGACTTTAAAGAGAGCAAGGAAGGGTGTATGCGGGGGGGGGGGGGGGGGGGGCCGGGGTTGAAGGGAGAAAAAGCAAGGGGGAAAGGTGCAATTATAATCTCAAAAATAAAAGAAGTAATAATAAAATAAATAAAAATATTTGTTGACTATTTTCTTGAGAATTATTTAGTTCTTTAGTCCATTTTTGGATTAGTTTTTTTTTTCTTTTAAGCTCCTTATATATTCTGTACACTAATCCTGTGTAGCCAGATGCACAGCCAGCAAAGATTTCCTCCTATTTGCCAGGCTGTCTCTTTAATCAATTAACTATTTCCTTTGCCATACAGAATTTTAAAATTTCATTAGATCCTATTTGTCAGTTGCCGGTCTTATTTCCTAAGTGTATGGAAATCTAATAAAGAAAGTCTTTATCTATGCCTGCATTTGTACTATCTGAATTTTTTTCTCTAGTAATTTTATATTTTCAGGCCTTCTGTGAACATCTTCAATTCACCTGGAATTGATGTTTATGCAACATAAGAGATGTGGATCTAAGTTTATTCTCGACGTAGATAGCCCCCTTTTCCAGAATTAGTTGTTGTCATGGATTATTTTCTTCTATTTCTTTCTGTTTTATATTCTGAATTTTATTTCAGGACTTTTCTACTTTATCAAAATGAAGTAAGTCTTCCTCCCGTCTCCTCTTGGGAGCATGCCCTTTTAGTACTGGGGTAAGAGAGGATCTGAACACCGAGCACTTCCTATTTGATATTTTTGTTCTTTAAAAGTTAGAAGGAACTCACCTTTGGAGTTACTTCTGTCCAATAGAGGTCTTTTGAAAGCAGCAGGCATCTTGAGACCTTTGAAGAAAGAATACCTTACCTTTAAGAAATGTCTCATTCATGTCCTAAGAAATCAAAATTTTATATTTTTTTTTTTGTGATGACAAACAACATTTATTTCCAGTTTAAAGTACATACATAAAATTGAAAAGTAAAAGATCTACAATATTTTTCTCTAATTTCTATAGAAGAAAGGATAGGCTGAGTGACCCATATGTAAATATATAATACAAATTATTCTTTGAGACAGGGTCTCTCTATGAAGTACTGGCTGACCTGGATCTGACCTTGTAGACCAGAGATCCTCCTGCCTCTGCTTCCCAAGTGTGGGGATTTAAAGGTGTGTGCTACCCGGCTGATTCTCAAAGTTCTGACAGCATCAACCTTTTGAGGGGCTCTGATAGCATGTCACCAATCCACGTTAATTCTGCAAGCACAGGACTGCTGATGCTATTTTCCTTCCTACTGAATCAGCATTTCAATCAATTTTGAGTTCATACCTGGGGTACTAGCTCTGGAGTCCTGAGCTTTGACTATCACAAAAATAATGGTCACTAGTGTTGAAAGCTTTTCTCAGTGGCCCCCATTGGCTAATGGGATAAAGACAAACACTTTAAAATAACAGATGTGTCTTTATGATAAGACAGTCCCGTCTTATAATACCTTGACCTAACCTTCATATTTCTCTCCACCTCAATACTTTTGTGCCAATATTGTTCTTCACAAAAAAAGAGCGCCCAGAATAGATCCACAATAAAGAATGACTTTTTGAAGGGATTTTAAAAAGTTATCTCCCTGTAAAAGAAATGAGATAAAGTTAATAACCATTCAGCTACCTTACAGACACGATTAATGAGCATATAATTATGTAACAAAGTGTCCCCTACAAAATTTCTGTTGTCTTGACAACAACATCACAACTAAACTCTCTTGAAAAGTAAAGAGAAAGAATCAGAAATTAGGCAGTAGGTTTAACAAAAAGAGAGACTATCTATTTTGCAGTACACATTACAATGTTTTTCTTTTTCTAGGACAAACCGAGGGAGAGCGTATTCTAAAAGGGCTTTTTATAAACAAGCAATCCAAGACTTTTCTGTTGCCATCCACTTAGATCCTAACAACTGGTTAGCACTGTACTACAGAGCCTGCTTATTCAGGAAGACCAACCCTCACAGAGCCCTGCAGGACTACAGTGTGTCAGGTACTCAGCGCCGTGTATGTGAGGGTCTGCTCCGAGGATCAGCAGCTGTTTCCTAGATGGGAATGCTAATACTTGTTCACTCATGTAATATGTAGGTTAATGTCCAGTACTGTGAATACTTACATACTTAAGGATATTCGTCTTGTGTACATGTTCTGTTCACCTGTGTACATGGGTGCACATGTGTGTAGAGACCGGAGGACAACTTCAGGAGTTGACTAATTTTAAAAATTTTATTATTTTTTCTCTCCCATTCTTTCAAATCTAATTTAATTTAATTTTTTTTGTATTATGGTCCTTCACTGGCCTCACTAAATAGGCTAGGTTCTGTGGCCAGCAAATCTAGGGGTCCACTCTCTTCAGTCTCCCCACCACGGAGACTGCCAACAGCACATGCTATCATCCCAAGCTTGCCTTCTTTTTCCCCGTGGGCTCTGGGGAAAGAACTTGGGTCCTCGTGCTTCAAGGCAGGCACTTTGCTATCACACCATCCCATCCCCCCAAATGTCTCATGTATGCTGAGAGGCGCCTCACGTTTCATGTCTGTTCCCAAGGGTTCTTGGGAAAGAGGGCTGAAGATTGCCGCTCACTTCTCTTTTTATCTTAGCGTCTACTTTCTGCTCGTAGTTGACTCTGTCTTCGCTCCCTCTGGTTTGTCTTTTCTCAGTTCGCTCCTCATGTCTCAGTGCGGCACCAAAGCGAAGGTGTTGTACGCATGAAGGGGACTCTGTCACCCAGCACTTCCAGTTTGAAGAGTCCTATAGGCTCACCCGACTCCACGGACCTGGTCTACCCAGAGAAGTCTCTCCTCTGTTCTTCCTCTAAAGCTTTACTCTTATATTGCCCCCATCAGCCTCCATGTCGGAAGCTGTCGTAACCATTCAAAATCTCTACTATTGAATTATTCAGAGCAGACAACCCTGATTTTAGCCTAACCCTTTCCTATACATTACCCCAAGGATTTAAATAAACCACTATTAAAACAAGGCTCTGTGCTGATAGTGTTTGACATTTATGGGCCACTTTAATACTGTCTGAGCACTATTGGGGATACTCTATATGGAATACTCCCACAGAGTACTCAAATAATGGTATGAAGAATTTACTATCATCATCCAAATTTTACTGATACAAACAAAGTCTGGAGTCATTAAATCACTCAAATTTTTTTTTTCTATAAGAATAGTTTTTCTACCAGTATCACAGCAGAGCCTTTCCTTGCTGGTCAATCATACTGAGAACTGAGCAGTGAGAATGCCTTCAGGCTCTAACGATGGCTAAAGTTTCTCAAATCTAGTATAGAGAAGTGTGTGTGTGTGTGTGTGTGTGTGTGTGTGTGTGTGTGTGCTTGTGTATGTGTGTAAAATGTTACCTCTCAATCCAGAATGGACTTGAGAAGCTTAGTAAATATGCATTGAATCTTACAAAAGTCCGTATGTTTCACTATTATGGTTTTGATCGTAAAGGGGGGAGTTAATAACCCAGAAACTTGTCAGGTGATCTCTAAGCTGGGTACTGGTGAGGGCCACTCATCTGTGATGGAGGTTGCTTCTGTTGTTTGCAGTATATATTCAAGTTGCCCACTTCAATTGGGATATGTAGTCAATTTGCCCACCCCTATGTTCTTGCCTTCAATAGCCTCAACCTATCACTGTAGATAAATAGACCTAGCACCTGCCATATATGCCTTTCCTGAACCAGTACACCCACACCTGTTCTTTAGTCCTTAATGTCTTTGTGATAATAAGAAGCCACTGTGAGCAAGGGCACCCTTCCATCAGCTGTTACATTCTAGATGAGCCTTTGCCATTGACTTATGTCTTAGTCCCCGTCAGTGTGCTGTGCTCCTTTGGACCTTAATCGCTTCATTTGTAAAGTGAGTGGAGTGTCTGAGTTTACCACCAGCTCTAATGAATTTATGAGCCATAATAGCCACAGTGTTACTAGTTAGCATTTCTTTTCCTATTCTTTCAGACAGGGTTTCTCTGCATATCCCTGGCTGTCCTGGAACTCACTCTAGACCAGGCTGCCTTGAACTCACAGAGATCTGCCTGCCTCTGCCTCTTGAGTGCTGGGACTAAAGGTGTGTGCTGCCACCACCTGGCAGTCAGCAATTTTTAAAAAAAAAATGTATTATTTTCACCCACAGAATGGGCACACTTGCCATAGCCACATTGTTCTTGGATTGTTAAATAAGGGAAAACAATAGGAAGGGTGTGGTCTGAAACATAACTTGTATGATTGTTTAGAAATCAAGGTATGTACTTTATATCTTCAGCTCTCATAAATGATGGATATGATAATCTTAATTGCTTTCTCCACCGGGGCATACTCTATGCACAACTAAAACTTTGGATGCTGGCAATTTGTGATTTTGAAACTGTTATTTCTCTTGAAAGGTAAGCCTGTCTTTTCATACTTACTTCACTCTTGTATAAAATCAGGAAAAGAATAAAATAAAAAGAAGCTTGCCCCTCACTATTGGTAACGTTGTAGCAAATGAGACTGTAATTATAAAGTCACACTAGAATTAGAATAACACTCGAATAAGTTTACCAGTCAACTAAGACTTGATCATTTCAGTTGCTTTGCAAAATTAAGAGATTGAAAAGATCTGAGAAGACTTAAATTCACAGTATTAAGTTAAAAAGTGACTAGAGTGGGCTTGAGGACATGTAGGCTACAGCTTTTTTGATGTTAAGTCATTGGACAACTGTCATCAAGTTTTAAAATAATGACAAAATAGCTGTGGTTTCCTTCATTGTTACACACAGTATCCAACTCAGTGGAAGCAAAGACCCCGCGTTTGGAACTCTTGACTTCACGTTGTTCAATAAATCAAAAGAAAATCCATTGCCATTTAGCCAACAGGACAAGGAAGAGGCACAAATTGAAAGTTAGACAAGCCAAAAATCCAGCTGTACAACATATATTTTAATTGAATAATTCTCCTCTCCAATGCATCACTCATTAAAATGGAAGTTGTTACAGAAAACCAAGGAAGGCTGAGAGTGGGAGAAAACCCCCACTAATTACCTAATACCAAATGATCATCCTTGAAAAAAAAAATATATATATATATATACATGTAACATTACACAGACTCAGCAAGTCATTTTTAGGAATATATATGCTATGGATTCATGTATGCAGATAAAATACATGTATATAGATAATAACAGTTAATGAAGAAAGTGGATTTTGGAAGAGATCGAGAAGGGGGTATATGGGAGGGTTTGGAAGGGAAGCGAAAAATGCTGCGATTATATTATAACCTCAAAAGAAAAACATGGAAGTTTTCAGAAAGGGTTAAAAAAAATCATGCTATCTCTGTGCAGCCTAGCAGACAGCTCTCAAATAAAAACGTTGAACTCGGGGAGTAACACCTGTAGGCCTCTGAGGACCGCAGTGGTTTTTTTTTGGGGGGTTAGGGAGGCAGAGTGATGTTTGGGATATAAGGTCAGCAGGTGGGTGGAAGGACCCTTGCTCTCCAGCACCCGGGGCTTCCATGGGCGCGGATTTACAGGACAAGCACTGTCCTTGTCTTTAGGACACACTGAACAGAGTAATATCTAAGGTCATCCCCCATACTAACAATCGCTCGATTATAGGAGAGAAAACAACATTTATTTGATATTGAAAAGTTATTTTACATATACCCATGTGGAGAGGATTTCTTTTTTCATTGAAAGCCATCAAACCTTACAATGACTGCTTTTCACTATTTCTCCTGACCTCAGGCAAAGACTTTTGAGTTGAGGAACAGTAATCATTGATTCAATGTTAACCAAGATTAAGTCAAGCTTTGCTAAGAGTCTAGGAGACTATCGTTTCCATTCCCAGTATAGACTCTCTAATTGTTAATTCACTACTAAGTCTTTTATTAAGAATGTTCCTACTTTTTATTGAAAATAAGTTTTTCCATACTATATATTCCAATAATGGTTTCCCTTCTCCCACCTCCTCTCAGATCTTTCCCACCTTCCCAACCACCCATGCTTCTGTTTTTTAAGAGACCACAGTAAACTAATTTCATTGCTTTAGTAAAATACTAAGAATATCTGATTGCAATTGACTCATATATTTCATTAGCTTTTTAATAATTGAAGAACAATGTAAATAAATTTAAATTTCTAAAAAATTTTACTTTCTTGGTTTCTTTTTAGAACTGCTACTTTGGCTTATATAAATATTGGCCTCATATATCTACTATACCTGGATAATTACACTGAAGCCTTTTTGAGATTTACTGAGGCTATTAAAGTTGATCCTTTATTTATTCAAAGCTATATTTGTAGAGCAGAAACCTATCATAAGGTATTTAAGACTTGGGGATCTTGAATTTAAAAAATTATTTTAATTTTTTAGATATTTATCCAATGTAATTTATAATATATGAATATAATCTTTTTTCAGCTAACCATAGAGGCTTATGGATTTATAAGCAACATCTATTAAGCAGATACAGTTAACAATTATTATTTACAAAGCCTCTTCTTATCAAGTGTCCATTTTCATTTTTATAATATCTCTAGCACATGTTTTATATTGTTTATACAAAACAACATACAGCTATTGTAGTTAATGTATTTTATGCAAATAAGAATAAATGATGAGGAACTTTCTGAAAATCAGTAGCTTTAAAGTTGCCTGTAATTTTATTTGCTGGGGAAAGCTACTGTTAGCCTTTTAGAGTCTTTTGGTCTAATTCTGTGCATGTATATTGTATGTACAGGTTAAGTGTGTAGGTTCATAGAATGAGGCCTGTATATAAAATGATGTCTTAGGGTTTCTGTTGCTGTGAAAAGACACCATGACCATGGCCACTCTTATAAAGGAGAATATTTAATTGAAGTGTCAGCGTACAGTTTCAGAGGTTTAATCTATTATCATGACGGGGAGCATGGTGGCATGCAGGCAGACATGGTGCTGGAGGAGCTGCTGCATGTTGATATGCAGGCAACAGGAAGTAGACTGAGGCATTGGGTGTGGCTTGAGCATATATGAGAACTCAAAGCCCACCCCCACAGTGACATATTTCCTTCAATAAGGCTATATCTACTCCAACGAAGCCACACCTCCTAATAGTGCCACTCCCTATGAAATTATGGAGACCAATTACATTTGAACTACCACAATCCACTCCCTAGCCCTCATAAGCTTGTAAGAATATCACAATGCAAAATACATCCAGTCCAATTTCAAAAGTCCCCATACTCTGTAACAGTCTCAAATTGTTCTAAAGTCCAAAGCCCAAAATCTCTTCTGAGACTCATGGCAATCTCTTAACTATAATGCCCCTGTAAAATCAAAATCCAAAAGCAGATCACATACTTCCAACATATAATGGCACAGGATATACATTACCATTCCAAAACATAGGAAAAGGAGCACAGTGAGGAAATACTGGACCAAAGTAAGACCAAAAACCAGCTGGGCAAACTCCAAACTCTGCATCTCCATGTCTGATGTCAAAACACTCTTCAGGTCCAATTCCTTTCAGCTTTGTTGACTGCAACACACTCCTTTCTCTTGGGCTGTTTCAACTCCCTGTTAGCAGCTCTCCTTGGCAGGTATCCCACAATTCTGGCATCTCTAACATCTTGGGGTCTTCAAGGCAACCCACACAACTTCACAGCTTCATATAATGGCCTCTTTAGGCCTCCATTCAGGGTCACCCTGAACACGTGCCTGGTCTTAGCAGCTTTCCTTAGTGTTGAGGGGGAAATTCATAGCTCCTTTCTTCTGTCTTCAACTCTAGAACCATGTGGCTGAAGTGTAGCTGGAGTTTTTCTGTGTCCACCCAGCTCCTGCAGCCGCTCAGACCCAAGTCCTTGCAGTTCTGGCTTTGCAGGCATGCAAAATGTAAAAGCAAGGCTACTGTAAAAGTTTGCACCAAGGTTCCAGAAAGCTGTTGAGCAGGCAACAGGTAGCATGGAGCTCCTGAAACGTGGAGCTGTATTTGAAGCAGTGGAGGCAAAGCCCAAATTGCAGAGGAGACTTTCTATCGGAGCTGTCAGAAACATGGGCTGTTTTCCTGAGAAAATGTCCAGACGCAAGTGCCACTGTCCCATGGAAGAGACCACATGCGCCACAGGCGACAGAGCCAGAGGTGCAAGGCTACCCAAACTTTTTGGAGCATAGAAGATGCTCTCAGCAGTCCCAGATGTTGGACATGAAGCTTTAGGACTGGTATTTGCTGTGCTACAGTTCAGGTTTGCTTTGGTCTGATGGTTTTCTTGCTGTATCCCGCTCAACTTTTTTTTTGTGTGTGTGTGTATTTGTGTGTGTAAAGGGGAATGTTTACTCCATACCATTGAATATAGAAAGTATGCAGTTTTTTGTTTTCAGGTTTTTTTTTATAGCTCTTAAGAGTCCTACAACTAACAAACTTTCTTGACTTTGAAGCTTCTGGCTTTTGAAAATTATCGGAAATGTGAGACAGTCAGAGGTTTTGGAGTCACACTGAACGAGTTTTGTATTATGAGATGAGACCAGGTGTGTGGAGCCGAGGATGGAATGTTATGGTTTAAATGTAAAATGGCTCATATGTTTGGACACTTGGTTCTCAATTGGTGGTGCGGTTATGGGAGATTGTGGAATCTTAATGAGGTAAAACCTCCCTAGAGGAAGTGCCTCACAACATGGTTCTTGGGGTTTTATATCCTGACCCCACTTCCTGTCAGGTCTCAGCTCCCTGGCCTGTTGTGTTGAGAGGTATCCCAGCCTTAAGCTCCACCATGAGTGACTGTTATCTTTTCAAAGCACAAGTCAAACCCAGTTCTTCCCCCCTTACAGTGCTTTCTCAAGTATTAGCTCACAGGACGGAGGAAAGTAACAAATACCAACCTGGACACTTGGTACAACCAGGTACGCCAGTGTGAACGTGCCAGCAGTTCGTTAATTGTGCAGACAGAACAAGGGCAGATTAAGAAGTTTCACAGAAATTCTCGAATTTGTTTAAACAAATTCCATCTCTTGGATTTCCTCTTAATTCTATCCCATTATTTTCTTCAAATAGTCTGTGCTATTTCACTTCCCTTTATTTCTGTGTATAAATTAGTTCATGGCCTTCTTTTAGCCACACCCTACCATCATATTTATGGCAGTTCTAGGTTGTTTGGCCTAATTTTTCTGGGTTTGTGTAGTGCTCCATTGGCAATGTCTTCAGTGGTGGTTGGTTTTTGTCTTTGAATGTGTGGGAATTTAAGTTATGGTTCTGTGACCGTTATTAAGGATAGAATAAATGTTTACTTTCCCTGTGACTCTCGAATGGACCTCTTTTTACACTGTTCTTATATTTTTTCTTTAATCCATTCACATTCACTGATCTATTTTGTTTCAAGTCTGTTTCTCCATCTTATTTTTATAGTGGAATTTACTTTTACTTCTTATGTCCCCTTTTGTATGCTGATTTATTAACTATGTGAAGTTTAGTGAAATAGATGTTAAAAAGTTGAGGGAGAAAAGCTAAGTGAAAGAGAAGCATAGACCTGAAGGGGTTACTTTTACTGTTTATTAATTATAAAACTTGATGGCAAATATAAGATTAGAACCCAAGACAGTTACTACTGCCTGGATGCACCTGCCACCATCTGCCTTCTGACTCCAAAACGGCCTGTGCTCCCTTCTGTCCCTGCCTGTTCTCCTTGGGGCCACCCTTCCTTTTCCTTGGCCCTCCAAGAACTCTTTGATCCATTCTGGCCACCTGAATGTGAACTTGGCTCTTGAGTCAAAGACCCTATTTAATTGGATAATGGACCATGACAATAATAGAATTCCTGTAACATATGCGTACTATAATATATCACATCCATGAGTGTAAAATGATATGTGAATGGGTATTTGTGACCATTCTTTAAAGATAAATAATTCAAAAAACCAAAGACATTGAATCATAAGACTCCTTTTTTGATTTTGTGAATTATATTTGCTTTGGTGAATTAAGGAAAGTATGTATACGTTTTGTATTTATACACACACATATGTAACAGCAATTAATGAAAAAAGAGGCCTTGCATTTGAAAAAGAGTAAGGAGGGTTATATGGGAGGATTTGGAGGGTAGAAAGGGGAGGGGGAAAGATGTAATTATGTTATAACCTCAAAAAATAAAAGAAATAACTAAAAACAAGCAGAAAGGAAAATCGAGTATTTTTGGATGAGATTCTACAAAAGTTCTGCCAGAAGTTGTGGGAGGGGCTAGACATCAGAAGGTGACGCTTCAACTAGACTACACATTCCTGTTTGTCACTCAACAGCTGCACAAGTTGAAAAAGGCGGTGTGTGAATTATCCCGGGCTATCCACCTCCAGCCAGATGGAATCCAGCTCTACATAATAAGGTATGAGCACAGAAACTGAATTCTTCCTGGGGTAACTGGACATCTTAGCGAACTCTTGGAACCCCACTATTTACTCTTCCAGTCTCCTTATTTTACATCTAATCTCCAAACAACATCTACCTCTCAACATGCATTTCTTGTTTTTATTTAAATGTTAAGACAACCATACCATTCCCTTTGCTGTACTCTTACACTGAAGAACAGTTTCTGAGAGTGAGGGTCTTGGATACCTTTCTAGATGACTTGCTATATAGACAGCAATACCCCCTCAGAGTAAGTACCTTTTGATCATTGGTTCTGTTTGTATCCACAGTACTAAATTGAACCCTCTGCCAATTGGATAAAAAAATGTAACACTCAAAACTGTATTTCCAATTTAGTAGAATTTGCTATAGAGACCTTTTGTAAGATACTGATCTCCAAAATATAATGTCTCAAGATTAATAGGCCTGGGAAAATGCAATGGGACATATTTTCTGATAAAGATATATTTTGTGTTTTAGCACTTTGTGTTTTTGGACTTTTAAAAACTGTTTAATTTTGCCAGGGATGGTAGTGCATGCCTTTAATCCCAGCACTTGGAGGAAAAGGTAGAGAGTCAGAGAGGTAGAGAAGAGAGGGACAGAGAGAGAAACACACACACACACACACACACACACACACACACACACACACACACACACGAGAGAGAGAGAGAGAGAGAGAGAGAGAGAGAGAGAGAGAGAGAGAGAGAGAGAGAGATGATCTCTCTGAGTTCAAGGCCAGCTTAGTCTATATAGCAAGTTCTAAGACAGCCAGCACTACATAGAGAGTCCCTGCCTCAAAATACCAAAAGCCAAAACAAAACAAACAACTCTATAATTTTAAAATGGATTTTATGTATACTTGTATAAATGAGTGAATGTTTTATAATCATAAAAAGTTAAGTAACATTATTAACTTTACTTTGAATACTTACTTCGATGAATGAGTGTTTAGCTCTGAACAGGATGATTATACCACCCCCTCTCAGGCTCAGGGATTATCATAGAATTGCTGGGTGGAAAGACTTTAAGATCTGGAAGATGGGGAGAACGTCTGTGAAATGTTATCTTCTGGGCATGGCACAACCATTTCAGTCACAGCCTCACAGCAGCTGTGGCTGTCTGCAATGAACCCACACAAGACTGGGCAATCAACAGTCACTCGTGATCTGGAGGGGTTTAAAGGACCCCATTTTACCCTGTTGAACTAAACTGGCTACTGATAGATTCTGGGGGAAAGCAATCATTTGTTTCAGTTGGGTGCCCAACCGAGGAGCCCATGTTTCAATGAGTTTTAAACCCATGGTCACATGGAGGATGCTGGTTAAACAGTGAGTCTTAAAACGACAAGAGCAGAGCAGAAAAAGAGTGAGTGTGAAACAGGGCCATCAGGAAGAAGGGAGGTGACGTGGGGGGGAGGGAGATGAGAAAAGTATGGGTCTACCGTAATCAGAATGTACTTTATACACACATGAAACTGTCAACGAACCCAGTAAAAGTTTTAAAAGCCCACAGACTAATTACCTTTTCTCTGCTTAGAATGAAAGCTGTCATTTCTTCCAGGGGACAATACCTTCTTATGATGAAGTGTCATGATCTTGCAAAGCTCACTATTTATCAAGTAGCAGAAATGAACAAAGGTAAATACAGCTAATTCAAAATAAAAATGTTAAATATTTCTCCATTTTTTTTACTATTTGTAATACCTATATATTGATATTGATAGATGAAGAATTCACTTGAAAGACAAAGAGTCTGAAAATTCAGTCTTTACTTTTACATAATCAGCTTGTATAGTGATTCAGAGTTTGGAGAAGTTTGTGAGAGCACTCACTATATCTATATCTATATCTATATCTATCTGTATATATATATATATATATATATATATATATATCTCAGGCTTATAATTTTACTCTTTTTGGTTTGTAATTGTAATAACTTTGTTTTATGTTAATAGAAGGTTTTGATATGGTGTTGATTTGTCATTTGATGTTGTAAAAATATGATACTGAATGACTCCCTTAAAATGATTACATTCTAAACCCTTGCTACCCAGCAGAGACCCTGATGAACTCCCCTTTGCTTTCAGGTCTCATTGAGCTGACACCAATACAGCAAGCACTCATTTACTCCTTTTGTGAAAACCATGACAAGGCCATTCACGTCTTGGAAGGGGTCATAGCCAGTAGACCAGAGATCTCCACTTTAGCACTCTTGGCAAAAGCCCAAATGAAGGCTAAGAAAATCAAGGTGAACAATCTGTTGACTGATGTTTCTTAAACTTAGTAATGGAATGTACATGCTATACTCAGGGAGTGCCATTTAAGTATTTTTACAAAATGAAATGATACGGCCTTGGAAGAAGATACTTCCCTATCTGAGCTGTCAGATGGGAATACCACCTAACTAGCACCTCTGTGGCCTGTGGAACTTAGAACAAAAGACTCAGTTAATCTATGCACAGACACCTCACTGTGGAAACACATTTCAAAGTCACTTTTTTTTTTTCAGCGATGGGTAAAGAATACAAATTTTAGCATCTGTAACTATGTTGTTACTGTAATAAATACCCAAGAATGTGGCAAGAGCTCTAAACTGAGCAGTGAGGTAGATGTTTAAAGATATGCCTTATAAAATATAACCAAATCAGAGGATTTCTAGAAGTTTATGGGTGTTGTTCTTTAGGGACCCCAGCAGAAGCCCAAGTAGAGCAGGAATCTCATGTAAAAATGAGTGGGTGTGACTTTGTCCACCTGGGGAATGAATGCCTGTGGGATATGTGAAAGGTCTTCAAAGTTCTCAAGAAAATGACTTCTCGACGGGCAGTGGTGGCGCATGCCTTTAATCCCAGCACTCGGGAGGCAGACGCAGGCAGATCTCTGTGAGTTCAAGGCCAGCCTGGACTACAGAGTGAGTTCCAGGAAAGGCGCAAAGCTACACAGAGAAACCCTGTCTCGAAAAACCAAAAAAAAAAAAAAATGACTTCTCCAGAAACCAGTATGGAGGTAGTGATAGAGAGAGATAGACAGAGACAGTGATAGAGACAGAGACAGAGGGATGATAGAGACAGAGATAGAGAGATAGAGATAGTGAGACAGAGATAGAGAAACAGAGATAGACAGACAGTAACAACAAATGTGTTTAAACTTGATATTTGTGTTTAGATTCATATGATGATTTGTTAATTAGTAAATGACATCTGGGAAATTAAACTTCTTTATCATTAATGGGTTCCAATAAAAACATTATTAAATTTATATGGGTAACTTTTGATGAAACTTGTTTTCTAGAACTAGTTGAATCCCATTAAGAGTAAAGCAGACTAATTGTATCAGGTATCATCAATACTTCTATTGCCTGCTAACTTCCCAACATGTCATCAGGGTAATAACCAGGTAATTATTAGCAAATGGTCCACGAGTTCAAGTCTGATGTTAGAATTTAGAAGTTCTAGTTACAAAAATCCATGTATGCAAACCTGCTTCAGATCTAGTGTGTAGGATGGCCCCTGGGTGGAACTTGCTGGGTTCATCCTCCAGAAAAGGGTCCTCCAGTTGTATAAGGACATTTGTGTCCTCGTTAGATCTGTGTGCATTTGCATGACATGAGGGCCCAGGTGCTGTGGGTTCTGAGTTCTCTTCACATTTAAGGTTGTGATGTTGAACAAATAACCAGTGAAAACATCCCTTTCATCTCTTTCCTTTGTTCTTATTCTTACAGGAATCTGTGAGAATATTTAAGAAGGCTTTGGAAATGTTTTCAGCTTCTGACAAAGGACCGAGTGCTGTTTCTGTTTCAGCAGAGTGTCTGTATAACCTGGGTCTTTGCTACATGGAGGAAGGCAACTTACAAATGGTATCCGTGAGCTTAGAAGCAGCGATTATTTGTGACTTCCCAAACTGGTTGCTTGCATCAGTTCTGTTTCTGAAGGCTACCCACAATAATGCAAGAAGTCAACTGACCAAAACTGCTTCTAAAGCTTGGCTCATAACCGGTAGTCTGCACCTGCAATTCCCATGAATTGTTTTAAATTAAATATCAGCACATTTTATTTGACACTAATTTGCCAATAATATTTTAAAGCTAATATATGTTTCTCACCAAAATAGTAAATCTAACTGTAGGAAATTATTGCAGGAAAATAATGTCATCATACTAATTAGATTTATTAAATTATAAGTAGTTAAATTGAATATTTTAATGTGCTGCAGACTAAATGGATGATGATTAGAACATTCTATGACTTTCCTTACTGATAACTGAAGAATTCAAATCAGATTTAAATTGATTATGATGACTAGATACATTGGGGAATTGTGGCACCCTTTTATCCTGAAACTGAACAACTATGTTTTTGCTGTAGTTCTTGGACCAGAAAGGAGAAATGAATGCTGCTGTCTGTGGTTTCTTTGAATTAATGAAATCCAAAGAATAATGGTTGAAATTAAACCTCAAAGTACTGTTATCTAACAACATGGATTATATAGCTATTTATCTGGAAATAATGGGACCTTTAATTATAAGTCTGACTTATTTCTAAGGATTATACTTGTTTGTTCCACAAGGTTCTTTGGGAGAATGTATTTTAAATAGTCCCTCTCCCCCAAAGAATCCTCGAGTGAAGCTTTTCAGTAGCGTGTCCGTACTTTATTCATCTTCTGAATTCGTGTGTTCTGTCACTGAGTGGTGTGTGCTTCAACACATTCTTCCAGGCTTTTGACTCTTTGACAAAAGCTGTGAAAGCGAATCCTGAGTTTGCAGAAGCCTTTTATCACCGGGGACTTTGTAAAGTGAAACTCAACAAAGAGAACTCAATTCTGGATTTTAATCGAGCGATTACTCTCAATCCCAAACATTACCAGGTATTTAAATAAATGACATCAGCGACTGGAAGAATAGGTTAGTTTTGGTGATGCTACTGAATAGTTTGTATGTAATTGGTAATAAAAAGCAAGAGCAATTCTCTCTCTCTCTCTCTCTCTCTCTCTCTCTCTCTCTCTCTCTCTCTCCTCTTTCTCCTCTTCCATCCCCTCTCCTTTCACCCTTTCTTTTGTTTTTTTTTTTAGACAGCATTTTACGGAGCACAGAATGACCTTGAACTCACTAGGTAGCAGGAAATAACCTTGAACTCTTGACCCTTCTGCCTCTGCCTCTCAAGTTTAGAGATTACAGATGGGTGCTATCATATCTGACACCACTTAACTATATTTTAACAATCTAAATTTTTGTATTCTTCTTTGGAATGAGTGTATTACTTTTTAACATAAATACTGCATTTTTAACAATATTTTGAGAATCGTGATATATGTAAATATTTCAAATACATTAACTTATTTGTTAGGAATTTTAATTTATATACAATAAATTTTATTTGTTTATTGCTTTCATATCAATGGATTTTTGTCTCCTAATAGATTTAAAGGGAAACAAAAAATTTAGTAGATGAAATTTGACTGGCTCTTGATTTTAAATTAAATTTGAGTTGATTAAATACTAGATAATTTTAGGGAATTATTAGTAACTATCCTAGATAAATAATGTTGGTGTGGTTATGTAGGGCAATGTCTTTTTTTCACAGGAGACTCATACTAAAGGAATGAGGTGAAGAATTATGATGTATGCAACTTGTTTTTCAATAGTTTAGGGAAAAAAATGGAGAAAGCTAACACAGTAGGCTACATGCTAATGATTACTGAATCTAAGTAGTAGCCATAAGTATGGCCCCTGTAAAGTTATTTCAATTATGCTGTATTTTTAACTTTTTAATGAAAAGAAATGGGGAAAACTATATTTTAATATTGTCTTTAGGTATCATAGACTTGTTTGAAGTTCCCTGTATTCTGGTAGAACTGACAATTTTACTAAAACATCCATCTCTGATTTTCTCCTTCTCTGAAAAGGCATATCTATGCCGAGTAGCCTATTATGGTTTAAAGGGCAGATACTCCAAGGCAATTCTGAATTGTAACGAGGCCATCAGACTTTACCCGAAGAGTGTACGTGCCTACATCTGCAGAGGAGTTCTGAAATACTACAACAGGGTAAGCCATTCCTGCCAAGTTACTGGGAGTTTAGAGCTGAGGTTTCTCTGCTTGTTAACTGGGCATTCACTTTCTACAATTCCTCGGATATATGACGTGAGAGTGTGCTATTTATATAATTATGGTGTTCTCTGCTTTCTGGACTTAATCTTTAAATACACATGATACATAATATCCCACCATGATTTATATTTAATTACTTGATTGTTGGACTTTTGAAATGTTTATATATTGTACTATTCATGTTAAATAATGCATTTATATGTGGTGAGAACAAAATCATTGCTTGAGTTTCCTAAATAGAAATTCCTGAGTGAAAGATTGTGGTATCTGATGCTGCGTGGAATGATTCTCTCTCCCTGATTGTAGTTTTGGCTTCTCTTCATTACTGTTGCATATGGAATACTTTCCTTTAGCACCTTAAAGCAAAGGTGAGACCTTGCATTGCATGTCCATTATTATTATGTTCAGAAATGGTGACATAAGGTATCAGAGTAGAATGGAAGGGGATGAGAGAGTGAATGTGAGTAGAAAACGTTGTGACTGTGTGATACCACAGTGTGACTGGCAGAAGTAAGTCAGCCCTTCAGTAGTCACCAGAGGACTATGGATTGCTTGCCTTTTACAACCAGTACTGTTTTCTCCAAGCCATATGGCAACATTGTGTAATATTTGCTTAAATTAATTTTTATTGAGATTTTATTTTTATTTTATATTTATGAGCATTTGCCTGTGTGTACGTTTGTGCACTGTACGTGTGCGGTGTCTGTGGAGCCTAGAAGAGGGTGCTAGATCTCTTGGAACTGGAGTTACAGGCATTTGTGAGTTGTGGGTGTTGGAAATTGAACCTGGGTCCTTTGGAATATCAGCCCAGTGCTCTTAACTGTTGAGCCATCTCTCTAGCCCATAATTGCTTACATTTAAGTTACTGACATCCTTAATTTTATTTGTAAAGTGAAGTTTTATTTGTGAGGTGAAAGAACTGTAAGAATCCCTGCCAAGATCTTCCTAGTGGACTATGTGAAAGATTAGCTTCATTGTATTAATTTTAAAGATGATACATAGAATCTTAAAGGAACACTTCAAACACTGACAGGCTGGCGCATTTATTTTATGATTGAACTTTTCTATTATGATTTATCTTTCTAACTCACTCTTTCTTTTTCCTTGTAGAGTTACCAGCTAGCTATTGCAGATTTAACTACAGCCATCAACATGGACAAGAACAGTTACGCAGCATTTTATAACCGAGCGTTGTGTTACACCAAGATAAGGGAACTTCAGATGGTAAATAACCGTTTTAGTAAATGACAGATTTAAAGCATTCGAGATGCAACATGCATTCAGTGGCTCCTTGACTTAGACAAGCAATCAATAAACAATATTTCATAAGCAGCATGTTAAAACATTTGTAAACATGTTTAAAGCACCTGTATTTTCTTCTTATTTCTGCTATAATCTTGGAAAATAATTCCTACGTAAATACACACATAAAACTTCACAAACCATGAAGAACCATTTCAGAATGATATTGATTTCTTTCCTAGTGCTAAATTATCTTATGCAGTTTCTGTACTGTCAATTCATTTTATAATGCCTGTACAATTATTTAAATGCCTGTATAAATTAGGATACATTCTGTAAGTATCATCTGAGTAAATGTTTTACTGATCCACTGCCGTACATAATTTTGTAGAAGTGATCACTAGCAATACTGTTTTACAACTTGGACCCAAGCTGGAACAGCTCATGGAGGTATTTGTTGTAGAATTCTGAGACTATACATGCAGTGAAGAGTACAGTCATGTGTTCCACCTGCAGGGACCGTTGACAGGGATTTGCTCATGTGCTACAAAACTTGCTACGGCAACCATATTTCGCTGTCAAACTCATTTGTGATTTCTAATCTTGCCGCTGTTACAGCCTCATCCTTTGTCAATATGGTTGATGTCAATGAGAATCAGCTCAGTGCGATCACCCACCTGCAAGTTCCTTGTGTTTTGTCCCCTGCTCTTGCTTCCTTCCCCTGTCTACTGGTCTCTCCTTTCTCATGTCTGCCATTTCCATAGCAGCAGTGAGTTCTTTCGGTAGACTTTGCACTCCCACTGATCTAGGTGGACACACTCCTCAGTCTGTAAAACTCAGCTAAGGCTGCTTACAGCTTCCAGAGATTTGGAAGTCACAGGGAGGACAGAGGCTGAGGAACCTCCTGTCCAGCAGAAGAATGTAACATTCCTGACAGCTAGCCTAGCAAGTTTGTCTTCCTCTACAGATGTAGACAAACGAATCATTAATTTTTAACAAGGCAGTTGCTAAAGGAGCTAGCTAGAGGGTCATTTAGCAGGGACCTCCCAAGCAGGTGCCTTTGAGGACCTTCCTTACACCCCACATTCCTGCCTGAAGGTAAGCTCAGGCCAAACACAATGGGCTGGGCAAGGAAGGGACTCCCACCTGTTATCTCAGTTATGCGGAAAAGCCAGTTCTAGGTAAATGAAGACCACGTAAACGACTCTGAATAAACGGGACCAAAATAGGGTTGCAAAATATTGGTAATTTTCAAGATGCCAGGACCCCAGAACATTTCATCTGCTCATTTTACAGGTAACAAGGAAACGAGAGTAGGGAGAGGCCACAGAATTTACCCAGGTCCCACAGGGAGCTGGAAACCTGTGCTGGTATCCACACCTTTGTTTCCTTCTAGGTTCACCATCCCGGGGTAGCTTTGGAAAGCCATCTGACTACAGATTGGACGGCATGTCATTTCAAAGTGTCACCAGCTCCCCTTTTGCCGACTTTCACCCGCTTTTCTGCATTCCTTCCGTCACTGGGCTGACATACTTAGGCATTCTTTATGGATAGAGTTTCCTAAAATCTGAGCATGGTGAATTTTTTTTTGTTTGAATTTTGAATAACTTGAAAGTAGTCATCATTTGTCATTTTCAGGCATAACACTTAAACAATAGCAAACCCAAAATATGTATTATTGAGACACAAAGCTGAAGAAGTATAATGAAATTGAACCAACTACAATCTCCAAAGGCAGTTTTTTTTTTTCAATTTTGCTGTCTTTTACCGCCTCTGAAAAGTTACAAAAATATATTCAGACAAAAGTGGACATTGGAATCTATTTTAGGATCTCTGGATCAAGTAGCTTGTCAGATCGACTCCTACAGCCAGCGGATCATGAAGTTAGACAGGAAGAAGGCAGCTTACATGCTTAATTTCTTCTTTCATTGCCCGCAGAGGAGCCTTTATGCATATCATGGTTCTATCAGGCTGGTTTTCTGGTCGTCAGTTTCCTCCATTCAGCAGGTTCTCATAGTCTTAGAACAGCATGGTGGCTTTTGACTCTACAATTCTATAATAATGAAAACAGTAGCCGTTGCCTCCTATTTATGGCTTATTGTATGGCAAGCACCAGGCTACACACTGTATCACTATAAAGCCAAAGCATTTCTGTTTTAGGCAGAAATTGAGGAATGGTGAGCACCATTGGGATTTCCAGATTCTTGTGCCCCTAAACACAGATTTGGACAGCTACACATGTAGATAGTAGAAGGAAAAGAATGGGTTTACTAAGGGGATAAAGGCACTTCTAAGACTGGCAGTCGGTCATGACTAGCGAAAGGTCAAAGTTTCCATAGGGCCTGAAGCAGGAGAATGGAGAATTTGTACTGTGCACACTTTTTTTTTTTTTCCTCCAAATGCTCTGCTGTGTTGGCCTTGGGAACATGTGGTAAGGAATTTCTGCACTGGTTTCTTTCTTTCTTTGTTTTTGTTATCATTATTGTAAATTGTATGAGTGTTTTGCCTGCATATATGTCTATGTGCCATGTGCACGCAGTACCCACAGAGATCAGAAAAGTTGGATCTCCTGAGACTAGAGTTAAAGACGGTTGCGAATTGTCATATAGGCGCTGGGAATCAAACCAGGGTTCTCTGGAAGAGCAGCCAGGGCTTTTAGTCACCAAGACACCTCTTTGGCAATCTTTATTTTTATTTTTATTTTTATTTTGCAATACAATTCAGTTCTACATATCAGCCATGGATTCCCTTGTTCTCCCGCTCCCGCTCCCCGCCCCCCTCACCTTCCCCCCAGCCCACCCCCCATTCCCACCTCCTCCAGGGCAAAGCCTCCCCCGTGGACTGAGATCAACCTGGTAGACTCAGTCCAAGCAGGTCCAGTCCCCTCCTCCCAGGCCAAGCCAAGCGATCCTGCATAGGCCCCAGGTTTCAAACAGCCAACTCACGCAATCTTACAAGCTAGTTGATTCAGAAGTTCTAAAATAGATTCCAATGATATCTTTCATGTGCAAATTTTGACCTCACACTCCTGCAATATTTGTAAGTGAACTCTAAAATGTATTAAAATTTAATATTCTTGTAGCCAGAAGTTTATCCAGACCTGTCCCACCTGCGGTCAGGACGAATCATTCCCACCCAATTCCCTCAACCCCTTGGTCCCAAGTAAACACACAGACTGTGTGGCCAATGGGTCAGGCTTCTTGCTAGCTAGCTCTTATAACTTAACTCAACCCATTTCTATTAATCTATATGTTGCCACGTGGCCGTGGTGTTACCGGTCTGCTGGCATCTTGTTGCTCCTTGCTGCGGCGGGTTGGCGTCTTCCCTTACTCTCCTTTCTTCTTCTGTCTCTTCAGTTTGAATGTCCCGCCTAACCTTATTCTGCCTTGCCATTGGCCAAACGGCTTTATTTATCAATCAATCAGAGCAACACATATTCACAGCGTACAGAAAGACATCCCACAGCATATTCTAGTTTTTTTAGCTGAGGAAACAGACTTCAAGTTAAGCTACTTTTCTTAAACTCAGAATCTAGTAACAGCAACTGATGATACAAATTCAGAGAAAGCTATGGCTCTTGCTGTCTTAACCAAAACTTTTAGGTTAGACAAAGTGGGAAATGTCTGCAATTTCAGATTGTAGAGATTTGAGGCATCAGGATCATGAATTCAAGGCTAATGTGGTCTCCAAAGCAAGTTCTGACCGGGTAGAGTTACATGGTATGACCCTCTCTATCTCAAGGGTCAGTAAAACAAAGAAAAACCAAACCAGAAGGCACCTTCCAAGTTCTCATCTCCACCACTCACCCTGAGCTTCCATGAACTCTCACTTAATCTTTTCTCATGTTCAGCTGCTTGATGGCACTCTAGGGCATCCTACACACTCTGTGTTCTGTGAGTCCACAGAAGTAGTGAGCCAGACAAGGTGTAATGAACAGTGTAGGTGGTTCTTCAAGTACTGCTAAATATTTTATATGCCAGCAATATTGATATTTATATCATAGGATACATATAAGGTCTCTAATTGTACAGTATCTTTGGACACACATGCTGGGAAATAGGAGAGAAGGGCAAGTGGGCAGAAAGTTAAATTCTGTTTATTTGCCTTCTACAGTCAGCTGATACTGTAGTCACGAATGAGCCTTGTTTGACCAACCATGTGGCTCTTTTGAACAAATCATCCACTAAAAATAATGTAGAAGCATGCACCCATTAGTGCTTAGTGCAGAGGCGGCATCAGTGAAGCTTTGCCTCCTCAGTCAATGGAAAAAATTAAGAGGAAGTGATTCCTCATCAGTGGATTCATTCTTCGAGCTCAGGTTGCTTTCTTTAAAAACAATTAGTCGATTTATCAACATACTGCAAACTTCCCTGTTTCCCTGTTCAGTCTTGTTGTGATCCCTTTTCATTGTGGTTTATTCGTTTGATAAATTTGTGTTTTTTTCCCTTTGATTAAAATTTACCAAATGCCTGTTATGTGAAGGCAAGATGCTTTGTCACTAGATTTACAGTGATGAAAAGATGAAGCACTTGCCTCCTGCAGTTTAGACTGCAGTGAGGAAGTCAATGAAATTTCAAAAAGAATTTAAATTTCAAACAAGAAACTCCACTTGGCTTTCATGTGAATGTGATAGTTGGTGAAAGTATCCAGTGTGTGTGTGAGTGTATGTTGTATGTGTGTGTGGGGGGGGCGGGGTGTTGAGTCCCTTCCTTCCAAAGTATGCAATGCATATGAGCATGCATGGCAAACAGATGGCATGTGGACTACACACATAGTGAGTACTTATTTAAAATCAGCACTAGTCATAATACTATAGCTAAAAGGAAACTTCAAGTTGAGCCTAGACTTAAGTCACATTCCAGAATTGATCCTGAGATCCCACTCTGGGTAGAAGCATATTTGTCCCAGGGCAATGGGGCATAAGCAAGGCTCTAAAGAGTTGCACCGTGGCTCTAAGTGACTGTTTTCTTTTTAGGCTCTAAGAGATTATGGCATTGTGCTGCTTCTTGATGCGGGAGAAAGAATAGCATTAAATACCTTCATTAACCGTGGACTCATCTACACTGAACTAAAGCAGTATGGCTTTGCGCTAGAGGTGAGCCTTCCTATGGATGTGGGCAAATGACCTACTCGATTTCACACAGCCTCAGAAACTAGTATGTATTGCTACAGAATAGCTGTGTTAACGAGTGACAGTGTTAGTAAGAACTGTATTGAAATATCTGGGATAACTAATGGAATTTTTATGAAACCTAAGTAAGTACTTTCCCTTCATTTTAATTACAGCTGAATGGTTAATATATTAATATTTTTTAATTAAGACTATCATCTCCCAAAGGAAGTACATAGAAAATTCAATTAACAAAATTATTTGTACGTATTTTATTCTGTTCTATAATGTTCTTTCTCACTCACAGTTTTCCTTCTCCTCTTGAAATTTATCAAAATAAATCTGTTTCAAACTGGGTAGGACATAGGTGTGTAGAATGGGCTACTGAGAACATCCTTTTCAGCCTTTAAGACTAGGCCTTCACGACTGGAATTTATGGAAGCATAGTGGAAAGAAACAGGCAGTTTTCAATTTGTTGCATTATAGAATAAATATAGTTTGCAATTCTCATTTTTAATGTTTATTATAACTTGACAGTAATTTTTGGAATTAAAATTTAGAAACAAGACAAATATGGAATATCCATTTGTAGTGATGGTCATTTTATGTATTTGTTACATCTATATAACCTTATATAATGAAATATTTCCTTGCTACATTCCAGCTTTGACAATGGTGCAAATTTATAATTTTAACTTAGAGATAAGGAAATGAATATTCAAAAGAGGTTAAATAAGACCTCTGAGCAGTAAGTACTGAGGCAGGCAGGATCTGAATTCAGGTTCCACTAGATTATAAATGTCGTGTCCTTTCCTACAAGGCAGTTTTAATGTTTGGGGAGTCAGGAGAGAATTACTCTTGACCTCCTCTTCACCTACCACACATTTAACTCATTAGCAAGGCTGCTTCTTTCTGTCACTGAAACAAATTTTGAACTGTATCAGTTCTAATTGCTACTTTCTTCTCAACCGGGGAAGTCCCAGGCGAGATTTGAACTCAGATCTCAGAACAGAATTTTCTGTCTCCTAGCCTGCTGAAGTAGCGTACCCTTGGCTTTGCCTTTTCACACTTACCCTGGCATGTGAATTCTCCACATAGCAGTCAAACAGACTGCTTTAAAACATAGAACAGATTCAGTCATTCCTTTGCCCCAAACCTGCAGTGACCCATCCCACCTGACAAAACCTGAATTCCTGACCATTAAATTCAAGGTTCTACTTGCTGTGACTGACACTCACTTAGTCTTTATCACCAGTCTTCTTTTCTACACTGAAGTCAGTCCACTCTGGCCTCTTTCTATTCTCTGGTAAGGCCTCTTTCCGCCCTACTCTGGGGAGATGCACAAGCTTCCCCTATACACATAACAGAACTATAGCTCTAAGCCCTTCTTTAATCCAAATTTCTAACTGAGTATAGTCTTTCAATCAAAAGAAAACTGAAAAATTGAAATATGATATTAAAAACATTAAAAGACCTCAAAATAAATTTGGAGATAGGATAAAGAAACACATGTCAAAGAGACCAGCAGAAAACAAGCAATAAGATATGAGACTCAAATCCAATGATGTCAATAGTTATATTAAGTAGAAATGGTCAAAAGTCACCAAATAAAAGAATGGCATGTCAGATGGGAATTTTGAAAAGTATCTAGCACATTCTGGGTACAAGAAATACACTTCAAATATAATGATGTGGATAGAGTTATACAAGAAAGCAAACAAAAGTAAAGTAGTGATCCTTTGTGTAAAGAAAACAAGTCACTAAGAATTAAATAAAAACATATAAATGATGCAGACAGAGAAGAAACAATAAAGGTTATAAGAGTGTGTGATAAGAAAAATACCAAGATAAAGTCATAAAGCCTATCTACAGGATAAAAGATTTTTGGAAGGATCAATTGATCGAAGCCTTAAGCGGCATGAGAGCTAGATAGATAGTGGGCAACTGTCTGATGTCCCCAGGACCAGCTGAATCAGGAAGCATCTGGACTGGAATGCTTGGGCTAGTGGTACTTGATGTTGTATTAGGAGCATTTGCCCGTGCCTTTTCCTTCTTACAAATCTACCAGGTGAAACAAAGGAATTAAAAATAGGTTCAATAAGAGAATTCAAAAAATAGACATAATATTTAGTTGTCACACGGTACTGTTCAAGGGTTTGGTGCCTTAAATTTAAATATATATATGAGCAGCTGTAGATCAAATATCAGACATTTAAGGGATGTAAAATTGGTACCCCCCAAAACACATTGTCACAGGTACTTAAAGATGATGGAATAGGGGCAAGTGTGTGGAGTGATGGCATCAGAGAGCTAAACTCACAGATGTAAGGAGTGAATAACGCTAAATATGATATATCGCTCATGTTTTTTAGGAGTTTCAAGGTAAACACCAGAGTAACATATAAAGTTAGTTGTCCTTAAGGGGTGGGACTAGGAGTAAGGAAAAGTGGAAGAGAGGGTCACTGTTTAGCATTCTATAGTTCTATAAGATACCACCTACAATATAATGAATTACTTTAGTAAGAATAAAAGTAATAATATAGACATAGATACACCTTTGGATCTCTTTACAAATTACAGAATAAAGCTGGTCATGTTTAAATAAGTAGTAAGTTGGCAGAATTTGAGGATCTGGAGACAGCATCAGTTCCAATTTCAAGTACATTGGCGGTGACGGGAGTAAGAAAGATGTGGCCATCTGTAGTTCCCAGAGAAGGGGAGTTGAGGGAGAAGCATGGTAAATCAGGGCAGCAAGCTTCCACAGGAGATGAGTAACGATTCTCAGACACAGAACGAGAGATGCTTGGTAGATTGCTTACTTAGATTATATTTAATGAGATAGCAGATTTCTGATTTCCATCCAGATCCTTCCATTTAGTCTGAAAATGTGCTGCGCAGTCTTAAGAGTAGGATCCCCACTTTGAGACTGGTTGGTAATGAGGCCATTTTCTCTCATGGGGACCCCAAGTTTTCAATTTGACCTTATTCCCCAATCTTTTACCCCTAGGGATAGCAAAGAATCCATTCTACTTCTTAAGACAAGCAGGCTCTCCCTCTGAAGACAACCAGGGGAGCTGTGAGAAGAGAAGGGGAGGGAAATGAGTGGTTAAGATCTCTCTAGTTGAGCAGTGCCTTCTGGGGCTAGAGGGTGATGGCTACTTTTAAGAAGCACATTTGAAAGAATTTCCTTTTGCCACGCCAGGAGAGCGTACCATCTCCCCACGGTTCAGCTTAACTTAAGTGAAGTAACAGCCAGAAATGCCCATGGAGATTCCTGTTGATGCCCATCTCTCGGGAAGATCGTGGCCATTTTTTTTTTTTTTGGAGGTTCTGGGTGCTTACTTTAGAAGGTGTTTTGCCTCACGATAGCAACCAGTAAAATAAGTCATATATAGTCACTACATAGGCATATAATATATCGTATGAACATGACATTTGTTTTATAGGTATCATTTGATTACGAATTCAAGTTTAGTACTGTTCTTATTTGCTTTCATGCTGAAAATAATTCTGTAAGATTTTGAGGTGATTCCAAGCTTCAGACAACATTTTTTATTTTCTGGTCCATTTTGGCCGCCTCTCTTGCAGACTCAGCACTTTAAAAAAATTCTCTGAAACAGCCTGTTCTCCAGGGCCATTCAAATTCAGTCCTGCTTGCTTTCTAAATTTCACATCCTAGGGTTAGAGTTGCCATTTCCCCACTTCAGGAGGGCTTCTGGATCCTTGCACAGAATCATACACCTCCTCCCAGAAGTAGGTTCAAACTTAACCAGTGCATGTTCTGCTTTATCATCACGTACCTGCCTGGCACCTAACTGTCCAAAAGTCATGTAATTCCAAAGGTTCTTTCCAGGGGAGTTTTCTTTTCTGCCCAAGAAGGGAAGTTTCCAGTGGTATAAACAATAAAAGAAAGTAAATGAGGTACTGTGTTACATACCACAGAGCAGCACCGCAGGAAAAGTCCCTGTTCTTAAGGTGGATACAAGTCACACAGACTCGGAATGTTAATAACGATTGGCATTCCTTGTTCCATCCATTCTAATTAGATGAGATTCTGTGAAGAAAAAAAACCGAAAGCTTAGGAAGATGTCTAGTTTAATGCTTTATGTGCTGTATACTTAAGTGGAATCAGAGTTAGAAGGACGTTTTAAGGAGATACATGACAAATTAACAAGATCTTATAAAATTGTTTCAGGATTATAAACAAGCTGCACTGATCAGCCAGACTAGCGTGAGCCTTTGTCAAGCTACGGCCATGTGCCACCACAGGTATGGAGCGCCATGGTTGTCAAAGGGGAAGCAAGCAAGGAGGCGGGGTCAGCAGACGTAACCAGTTACAGCCCCATCCAGAAGACAAAAGGGAACGGGAAGGACGGAGGGAAGTGTGGCTGTGATAGACTACAAAAATGGTGATGGGCATATAAAAAAATCCTTCTATGAATCTGAGGACCCTATCAGTAACACCCTTGAGCCTTCTAAGAAACTGACTTGTACCAAATCACCAATTAAATATTTATACCATGCACTGAAGATGTTCGTTTGATTGAAGCCTATGCACAAAAGGTTGATTAAATGTATGTATACCTTGAAATATCTAGTCATAAAATAATTTGTTCAGAAAGCCCATTTCTTGGAAAGGAGAGTGATTTTAAAATATTTTCAAGAAAAATTTGCACCAATCAGAGATATTTATGTATCTAAAACTACTGAAAACAATCCAAGAAAATGTCTACAAAATATATTAAAATCTACAAAAATTCAATACTGAAGAGTTAACTCTTTCTGAGATTTTTATACAAACACATTATAGACAAGGACAGTTAGAAGTAACAACAGTAACCCACAACCCTCAGAACAACTGCAGCGGTTTTAACATGGAAACAATGTTATTGTTTAATAATAGTTTGTACCATTACTTTTGGTAAGGGAAAGAATGCCAGTTCCTTTGGAGGAGTAAATTGGGGTGATTCATAAATTATAGAGGCATGTTTGTGACAATACATGGTTTAAAAGACTAGCATAGAGTTTGAATTACTTGGGAAACCGACATTCTAATTTTCCTTTTCAGGATGTAGATATACAGCTACATTTCCCCACAGGAAGTAAAGCTCTTTATTGTAGGAAAAAGTAATATAGTGGTTGTAAATTCTGCAGATGCCTTGGGGTTAAAACTTGGTCTCAGACCTTTCATTATACACAGTCATACCTTTGTCTGTTTTGATGCATCGATCTTTGTGCGGTCCATCTCTTTAAGCACTTGTCATTCTTAAGAAGAAATGGAATGGTGACTGATGTGTTTACTTTGGTGGACGTGTGCAGGCCAAAATGCCTGAGATCATTGCGTCTGTCAACATTTGAAACGTCCCACAACTCCGCTCAGCCTCGTTTCTATTTAACAGCTGTTAGGATTGGCCAGTGCCTCCCTGTGCTGGGCTCGCATCTTTATGAAGTGCGATCTTGGGGTACAACAGCCAAGCCTCCTTAAAGCGGCTACTGCTGTGCAGGTCCAAATAACCCACCTTCAGCAGCTCTCTAGGCTCTCTATTGTTCTCTAGGAATTTAAATCAACAGCCTCCACAGCTCAGAGTTTTAATTCCGTGTGTGTTGAGTTTTCACAGTTTTACTGAACTTTAACAACAAGGAATATTTAGTGATTATCTATTTTTTTTAGAAAAATTATTTTGGCAACATGCTTACACTGTGGAAGAATGGCCTGCAACTATGGAACTTACTTTTGACATTTTTTTTTTTTGATAGGAAAAACATAGTTTTTAACTCTGAAAGTTTTATAAAAATTATAAACCTTTAAATTTTAGGGCTTTGTTCTTTGAACTAAGGGAGTTGACCTTTGAAGCATTCTTTGTATATTTCTAGCTCTTACTCTTGTGGATGCCAGGAGACAACATTCCTTAGGGTGAATATCCTACTTATTGCTCAATTTAATCACCAAGAGTGTTGTGGTAATGTGAACTTTTAGATCCCAGTGAAAAAGCCATCTTTGTATTTTAAAAAATGATAGCTATTACTTGGCTGTACATTGCAAACACATTTATCATACTTCTTTTGGTATTTGCGTAAGCTATTTTTAAGTCTTTAGCTCTACAAGCCACATTCTTCAGTGTTTGGAGGTATTTGTGATTTGTTTGTACAGTTCAGAAGGACATCTCTGGTCACATCTGTGATTACTGTAAATGCAGTGGGCTTGTGTGGGTGACTCAGAGCAGACACTGTAAGCTTGAGCTCCTCCTGAGAGCGGTCACGTGACTTTAAGGTTCATGTAAAAAAAAATTATTTAGGAAAACTTTTAATGTACTTTGTATATGTGGCAGCCAATGCTTAATGACTTATAGGTCAAGAAACACTTACTCTGAAGTGATATAGATATTCTTCCAGATCTTTCCACTGGATAACTGCCATGTTAGGGCTTAATCCAGCCAGAGGGATGTGGTGGCAGACCCATCTCCAGGAAAATGGAGGTGATTTTTCTACAGAGCATCCAGGTCATTTTCTCCTGTGTCTGGTGGTGTAGTAAGCGAGGGGATGGGGGGAGGGGCACCTTGTCTTCATCTCTGCCACCTGGCCTGGCTGTGGCTTTCAGTCAGGGATGATTTTAAGGTGCTCATCAGCTGACTTTAGAAAGTCCACATCTTCCCTTTACGTTGTTTACTCAGCTGGATGGACTGAAGTGCACATCAGTGAGCGTTGATAACTGGATAGCCGCAACAGCCCTTCACAATACGTTCACTTGCCCTACAGAGTAATGGGCTTTGATTCACTGTCGGACTTGCTGCTATAGACTTTTGTAATTGGTTAGGCTACACAAAATGAAAGATTGTATTTTATAAGCCCCATAGCAGAGTTTTAAATTCCTTGATGGGTAAGAAGAGCAGTGGATATGATACACACTGAATGACAATATAATAGAATGCTCAATAATTTATAGTGAATATATGACAATGGTCTGGAAAAATACAGAATATTTAGACCATCTAGGTACATATTGTAACTAAACACTTCTCTACCCATTGGTAGAATTACTGAATATAAGAAAACCTATCAACAAATGCATTTTACACAGAATTCCTATGCCATCTTTATTCTTGATAAATAGGGCTAATCCAAATGTTGAATTGCTAATGTAATCCACCAAGATGGTACCTGGAGAGGCACCGTGACCCCACATTCAAATGGACTGGTACATCTTAACTAGTGGCAGTTACTGAGAAAGCAGTGCATTTTCACTATAAACAGCCAGGGAGATGGTCCTGTGATCTCTGAGTAATCACACACAAAATGAAGTCAGATGTTACTCTATGAGTCATAAAGGCCGTTGTTAATCATTGCCTGTCTGATCCATCCGAAGCCATGTGTCCTGTGACCCTACTACTTCAGTGTTGATCCTCCTGTGATCTTCTAGATGGCACTCAATGCACACCTTTGAGTGGTATTTGATCAAAAAAAAATGTGGACACAGAATCACAAGGGATTTTTTCCCCTAAGATTTATTATTTTTATTTGTGTGTGTGTGCCTGTATGAGTTTATGTGCACCACACTTGTGTAGGGTGCCAAGGAGCCCAGAAAGCATCAGATCCCTGGAGCTATAGTTAGGAATGATTGTGAGCTGCCTGACATAGGTGGCTGGCAGCCTAACCTGGGTCTTCTGCAAGAACAGAAAGCATTCTCAACCACAGCATCTCTCCAGCCCTCAATTATTTTTGCTGCCATTCTGGACAAGCATTGAAAAAATACTTGTTAAGCCATATGCAAGGCCATTGTTTTCACTGATGTCCTCAATGAAATGGGATGTTCCTTAAAAAGAAAAGAAAGCCGGGCGGTGGTGGCGCACGCCTTTAATCCCAGCACTCGGGAGGCAGAGCCAGGCGGATCTCTGTGAGTTCGAGGCCAGCCTGGGCTACCAAGTGAGTTCCAGGAGAGGCGCAAAGCTACACAGAGAAACCCTGTCTCGAAAAACCAAAAAAAAAAAAAAAAAAAAAAAGAAAAGATATATATATATATATATATATATATATATATATATATACATATGTTTTAATGTATACTATGAGTCAGTCAATTATGGGACAAATCTGTAGGAGGCATTATTGCACAAGTTTGTTTTTATGTGAGAATCATGAGGAATACTTATAGAAACTAATGTAGTTATGGCATCTCTAGGTGATAGAAGCTTATAAGATTGTCTTTGTATATTTGGTCCTCTGTAGACTGAAGCATTGTTAGTTGGATTGAGATTGTAATTTAAATAACATATGTTGTCAATATCAGTGCATGTTTTCCTGTGTTGGTAACTTATCACTGTTAAAACAAAGTTTAGGACTGCCCTTTAGAAAAACAGAATTCTGGAATAACATCCCACATAGTGGTGTGAAATGAGTTTTACTTTTTTATATTTATTCACTTACTGTGAGCATACACACTTGTGGATATTAGATGGCTATTTCCTTCTACCATGTGGGTTCCTGGGATCAGACTCCGGTCATCAGGCTTGGCGGCAAGTGCCTTTACCCACTGAGCCATCTTGCAGCCCTTGAAAATGATTTTTACTTTTCTTGTTCTCCTCATCCAAATCTCCAGAGATTCTTCTAGACTTCCTTAGATCATACCGACTTATGTACTTCTTATGATAGATAATAAAAAACTTTTGGGAAAGTCAAATAGTTTGCTAGCAAACCAGTTCACCTGAAGGCATGACGTTTTCCTTCCTTCCTTCTTTCTTTTCTTTTCTTTTCTTTTTTTTAGAATTAAAGAGTTTGAAGGAGCTGTTGAGTTCTTTACCAGAGCTGTTAAGATTAACAGACGTTTTCTGGATGCTTATATTGGACGGGGGAATTCTTACATGGAGTATGGAGAGGACGAGGCCCTAAAACGAGCGCAGAAGGACTTCCTGAAAGCGCTGCATATTGACCCGTCATGTTTAAAAGCCAGAGTTAGTCTAGGCTATAACTTGCAGGTAAAATAGAGCAGCATTTTCATCACTGAGAGCATTGTTTGGACAGAGATATTTGGCTTTTTATTGGCGATGCGGCCGGATGTTATTTCTCAGTCTAGGAACATTTAGTTTTTTCCTTTACTGTAATATGGAGGCTAAAAGTGGGGAGCAAGGGGCTCAATTAAATACCGAGAATGTGCTCAGGTGAGCCCGAGCTCAGCTAAGACTGATGTGATAACGCTGGAAGAGATGGGATGGATTGTTATCGCAACCAATGCCTGGGAACGTGTTAGAGAAAAAAAAGATGGCTGTCCTAGAATTAAATCTAAAATTAGTATTATAATCAAAATATGAACAATTCACAGTCCATTTAAAGAATAGATTGGGTGACTTTAAAAGGAGCTAGAGCTGACTGGCGGCCAACACAGTATGCTTACACCATTCACAGGCTGAGTACCTATAATGTGGATGAGGAGTAGCTCTCGGCCCCCAGAGACAGCCTTCTATAGAAAACATAGTTTCTTTTGAATAGTTACACTCCTAGTTTTGAGAGAGAGAGGCACTGTTATGTGCATGAGTAACTATTAGATTGTAATTATAATAAATGCAACAAAAACAAATCAAAACAAAAACAATCCCCCAAAAGGTTTTGTACCAAGAAGCCCAACTAAAGGGTAAGAGAACTTACTGATAAATTAACATTTATGTTGAGATGTAAAAGACTAGTAGCTAGGTAGGGGAGGGATTGGGGTTAGGATTTAGTCTTGAGACAAAAGGAACAACCAGTTAGGACACATTGTAAGAAGAGGCAGAGCGTCCATATGAGTAGAATGTGGTGGATACAGGGAAATTTGTGACGAGACTAGAGAAGTCAATAAGGGACAGAATAAAAGCTCTGAAATCTAGTTAAAATAGGAATATCCCTAATCAGAGACATGCCATCAAATTGTATTCTGTGAAGATCCCACTGGGTACATAACCAGGAAAGGGGATTGAAAAGCACGTCAGCATGGAGAAGTGAATCAGGAAAGGGAAGGGCGAATAGAGGAGAGTTAGAGCTGCCCACGTGCTGTCCAGGGAAAGGAGAGACAGCCTATGCTACAAATACATGTAGATTCCTTCCTGTTTGCCCAGGACTGAGGCTATCACAGCGAGCACAGCAAATGTTGGAACAACCGATAAATCCAACCCTACCGTGAGGTGGTTTGCAGTTTAATATTCTGATAGTCCAACTTCAGTTTGCCTAATTCTTTGTTTATTAAATGAACTTATGATGGCTTGCAGGTTTCCAGGCACTTGACTCAGAGTTTACCAGTCAGGAATGAGGATCTAGTCCTCCTCTTTGTAGTTATATTTCTTTATATCTTTATGTGAGAGTCACTGGGCTCAGGTTGGTTAGAGTGTGCCAGCCTCTCAGACTCTGGCAGGTTAGTATTTGAGCCTGTGAGATGAAGAACAGACGCTGGGCCATTGCAAATTAGTTAACTCCCTGCCTGCCTGTCAGGAGGTGTTTAGTTGCCAGCTGGCCTGCTCTGGGCAATACTCTGACATCCTTCTATTAATGGTGCCTGTCTCCTGACCTCTTTTCTTTTTTTTTCCAGTTGGCACTAAGGTTGTTATGAACAGGTGCATGGTAGATTTACATGCATCTTCTGTGGAGTGTATGAAGTGTTCCTAAAATTCCAGATGTGGAACAATTCATTTGCACTATTACTCCATTCATTTGTATAGCACATACTAATTTTACCTTGTGTGTTATACATATATTATAGATATCTAGAAATCTATCTATCTATCTATCTATCTATAACTACATATCTACACACACACACACACACACACACACACACACACACACACACACACATGAGACAAGGTCTCACTACCTTGTCTCAAACCCACAGAGATGTGCCTATCTGCCTATTGAGTGTTGGGTTCAAAGGTGTGTGCCACCACTTATGGCTACTTGGGATTTCAATGTAAGTTTTTTGGCAGTTCGTAGAAATATGGATGACACATAGTAGTATGTCTTTAAGTTGTCTAAGATTGGTATAGTATATGACTATAAAATTAAATTTATTTGAATATAATTTGATCATAAATACTTAACGGGAATTAGTTCATTGAAGATACTCATTTTGTAGCCTAGTTTTTAATTTAAAATACCTTAGCTTTAGTATCATGTAATATATACCTCACCAAAGATTTTAATGAGTGAGAATCAGAAACATTTGTCATGCTACAGACTGTTTCTTGCTTCATGAAATTGAATAATTATTTTAGGCACAAGGAAAATTCCAGAAAGCTTGGATTCACTTTACTATTGCCCTAGAGGCTGATCCAAAGAGCTATCTAGCCTATGAAGGACGAGCTGTGGTTTGTCTTCAAATGAGTAATTATTTCGCTGCGATGCAGGATATTAACATTGCCTTAAAGGTAAAAACTATATTGATGATGCTATTATTAGCATATATTCAGACTATCAATGAATAAGTCTAAGTATGTTGTTCTCTGTTACCTATTTTAAGTGATATGTAGAGAAATGTTTTGTTTCCCCAGAGTTATGTCTAAGGTAAAGAGTTATTATGGTTTATTTTGTAATCTAGATGCATTTAAAATTTAAAATCAAGTTATTGATAAGAATCAATTTATTTTATCAAATGCAACTTGTATGTTTCATAAGACATAAATAGTATTTTTGTAATACAAAATGAATTAAAAAATGGAATGGTGATGTACCAAGTTTGAAGCAAGTAGAGAACAATATAGATGTTCAGCTTCTTCCTATAGTGAAGGAACAGCCTTCTCATGCTTTGAATTCTCTTCCAGATTTTGTTTACTTTCTATAATTTTGAAATATTATAGGGGTAATATAAAGGGTAAAAAAGGACAAGACTTAAAGGTCATTGTTTCTACATAGCACAGTGAAACATGTTGACTGTTCTATTTAATTTCTTCTCTCATTTAACAGATTAACAGGTAAATGTCCCCCATGTCTATTCCTTGGGAAGAACTTGAGTAAAGCTCTAAAATTATTTGTTTTATGGCAGCCATTCAATAAAGCATTAACATGAAACCAGTTTCATACCAAGCCCTTGATGGAAATAGGCGCTGTAATTGGGTTTGACCTGCCCTGTAACAGCGCTTTTTCTCACAAGTGGATGTCCTAACATTCATTTCACAGACATGAAATTGGAGATTAATACTATTCCCAGATGCCAATTCCTCCTATGATTATGTTGCAGATCAATACTACCGCAGAATTCTTAACAAATCGTGGTGTGATCCATGAGTTTATGGGTCAACAACAGAGTGCAATTGCGGACTATCAAGCGGCCATTTCTCTGGACCCCAAGTACTCGCTGGCTTACTTCAATGCCGCAAACATCTACCTTCGCCACCGGCAGTTTTCTCAGGCAATGTGCATTTTCCTTAACGTGTTCTTTTGGCGTTAAATTCTTCTATGTTATATACAGTTTCGAAGTGTAGCCTTTATGTCCTAGGTTAATAAATAATGTTCTGTTCCATGAAGATGCTTACAGTTTTCAATCCTTACTGCTGCTACTTGTGTAGATCTATGCTCCTCAGTGTTCCTGACCATTCAGTACTGGTCCAGAAACACTGATTTTAATTTTCCGGCATTTGACCCTTCTCTTTCTCTATCCAGCTTCTAGTGGAATCCTCTCTTCTATATCGCAGGTAGACTTCCCTCAAGATCCTCTTTATGCTGGGAGTATCTAATTCATCTTAGTGTATATGTTTTCTAATCATCTGTCGCATGAGCACGGGAAATAAAGAGACACATTTATTTATTTATTTATTTATTTATTTATTTATTTATTTATTTATTTATTTATTTATTTATTATGTATACAGAAGAGGGTGCCAGATCTCATTACAGATGGTTGTGAGCCACCATATGGGTGCTGGGAATTGAACTCAGGACCTCTGGAAGAGCAGTCGGTGCTCTTAACCTCTGAGCCATCTCTCCAGCCCCCAAGAGACACATTTTAATTATGGTTTTGTGTGACTACTTAATCTCTTGCCATTTCAGCTTATACTGTCTGAAATAAAAACTTGTTAGCTTTTAGATGAGATAAATATTGAAATTTACTGTACTTGAAGTGGGATGTACTTACAGGATCCAACTTCTTCTTCTTCTTCTTTTTTTTTAAATTTTTGCCTTTTTAGGTATGGTCACTGTGTTATGCTTTCCCCAATTCACCTTGTTCTTTACCATTTTGAGTTGACTGAATTTACCTGCCACTTATTAATTTATATTATAATTTGTTAATGCTGTGTCCATTTTCTGAGTATTGTTTTGGCAGAACCCCATATGTTTTGGTCTTTATTTTTAAAAACTGAGTAAGATACAAATATTGTGAAACTTACAATCTTAACCATTTTAAAATTCATGGTAAATATATGCCATAATGCTTACTAGAATTTTGCACCTGAAATTTGAATTTCCCCTCTTGCTTGGGAATGTCAGTTGGGAATTTAATCAGGTGGAAGGATTTTTATATTTTCTATGCTTTATGTGTGCATTAAATGTATTTTACTCTGTGTTGTGTTCCCTTTTGAGTATTTTAGTTTTTCTGATTTATAGCAAGGTTTATAGTTTTGCTCTAGTGACTATAAAACTATCGTTATGGCCCATAGTTATTATTTGTTTACTTTCTCTACCATGAACAAAAATTACCATGGATCTTCTTCTCATTAACATACTAGCACAAATCCACAATCTTCAATTTTGTGTGTTTGTTTTTGCTTTTGTTTTCTGAGACAGTCTCCCTGCATAGCCCAGACTAATGTCCAACTTGTGATCGTCCTGATTCTCCCTCCAGAGAGCACAGCAATGGGATTATAGGTGTGTGTGGCCATGTTGGCTACTATCTTTAGAAGGGGAAGCCCCTCCCCCTCATACCCACTCCAGCTTCCTCCTCCATTTCACTACAGATCTCCACAGAAGTACCTTCTAACCAACGTCTACAGTAGCTGTCTCTCCATTTCTGTCTCAGATTCTCCACACACCATCTCCATTTCATCCTTTGTCCCCACTGCTCCTCCAACTTTTTCTTGTCAGCATTCCCTGTCCAGCCTCCCTTTCTGGACCCTGCAGGAGCATTTGCTACAGGGCACTTACTGCTTCACAAAAGGTTCTGCTCTGTCATTCTTGCATCAGCCTGTCCACATGTTCCATTCTAAGTAATGGAACTTTACAACTCGCTGATTTCTGGGATGGATCTGGTTGCTCTCAGCAAGGATTAGATGCAAGGACAGTCATCGATGGTGTAGTTGTCTTAAGACATGGCTGGGTTGTCATTGCTCAGATGCTAACGGGCGGTTGTTTTTCCAGGCTTATAAACCAGTGTCAGTTGCCTTACACTTCAGCTCATTCTTTGTCTGGGTCCCAGAAATGTTTTTTTTTGCAGTGTAAGTTAGTTAAAGAGGCTGGGCCCAGTGGTACAAGCCTGTAATGCTAGGTACTGGAAAGACTGAGGCAGGAGGATTGCAAGTTCAAGTCGACCCTCAATACCTTAGTGGAAAACTGTCATAAAAAAAGTTGGAGGCCGGGCAGTGGTGGCGCACGCCTTTAATCCCAGCACTCGGGAGGCAGAGCCAGGCGGATCTCTGTGAGTTCGGGGCCAGCCTGGACTACCAAGTGAGTTCCAGGAAAGGTGCAAAGCTACACAGAGAAACCCTGTCTCGAAAAACCAAAAAAAAAAAAAAAAAAAAAAAGTTGGAGATACAGGTCAGTGGTCGAGTGCTTGTTTAGCAAATGTGAAACTCTATGTTCAATTCCCATTACCACAAAAAAGAATATAATTCATAAGATTGAGAAAAATAAAATCCCCAAGGCAAAATTCTGTTTTTGTAGATGGTTAAATTCTGCAGGATAAAGAACTTTATTTTTTAAACATCTTTAATAACTCAGTGATTGTCACATGTAAAATTATTGGTTTAGCTCTAACATGTAGCTCAGACTATATATATATATATATATATATATATATATATATATATATATATATATATATATGGGTGGACTGGAGAGATGATGGCTCAGTAATTAAGAGCACCTGCTGTTCTTGCAGAGGACCAAGGTTCTGTCCTAGCACTCACATGGTGCCTCACAATCATCTGTAACATCAGTTGGGGGGGTTGGTGTCCTCTTCTGCCCTCTCTGGGCATCAGGTATGGATGTGGTGCATGTACATACATGCTGGCACTCACACATACATATAAAATAAAAATAAATATCAATGATTGTTTAAAGTGTGACTCTATTCCCCCAACATCACAGAAATACTACCTCATGTAATATTCCACCTAAAGCTGTTTCCTGTCTTGGTGTGATGGATGCTTGGGTGTTAGCTCAGAGTCTAACAAGAGTTAATGATAGCTATTCAGCTGGGCTGCCATGTCTAGGCCTCTCTGAGGAGAAAATGGTTTCTATGCCCTCTCCTCGTCCCCTTCAGTTGTTTCTGAAGGAAGATCTTAGCACAGGAGGAAGGGTGCCTTATCAAAAGAATAATTTCCAGAGAATTAAAACACATACAAAACCTGACTCCTGTTTATTATCAAGTTAGTAACAGTGCTTTAAAGACACATTTGGATGCCACACTTGGTATGAATGATTAACTATAGATGACTTTTAGACAATAAATTCAATCTTCTTTATGATTGATTAGTCCGTTAATTATAGATTTGAGGGCATCAGATCAGTTGTTTGAGACTCAAGAGTTTTAATTACTTTAGCTTCTAATTATCTCACACTCCTCTACTACAAGTAATCTCATTAAATTAATAGGTTTTCAATTTTCTCAGTAATATAATTTGGAAGCTATAATACAAAGTTATGATGTAGGAGTTGGAGAGACGGCTCAGTGGTTATGAAGAGCATTGGCTGATCTTCCAGAGGACTTGGGTTTGAGTCCCAGCATAAACATGGAGGCTCACAATCATCTGCAATTCACTCTCAGGGGAATCTGATGCCCTCTTTAGGTCTCTGAGGGCATCGTACACATGTAGTGCATAAGCATGTATGAAGGCGAAATGCCCACAGACACAGAACAATAGTAAAAATAAAGCTCTGTTGTTCAGAATTAGATGCACTAGGATATGACCCTTCGTGATTTGCTCCCGTTGTTAGAAGGCACACTGTTGTGATTAGATAACTGCCTAGTCTGCTCATCATTTGATGATGAGTTAAAAGAAAGCATAGATTGTTTTACAAAGACAGTAGTGCTGGGAGACATTCATTTGCTCCATTTCTGATGTCTGTGGATACAACCTTTTCCTCAAGGGTGAGTTTTTTTTAAGCTGTTCACAGATGTGTGCCGATTCCGACCCCGTCTCAATGAATCCTTACATTGTACTTCAGCACGGCATCAAACAGGTGCCATCAGGGATGAGAAGGGTTATACAGTCCTGATGTAACTGCTCCTCAAAAGTCAAAGTTAGCGAAGTTCATAAAGAATCGCCTGAAGGTTGTGTTGCCTCTTCATGTGTAGACATTGGAAGTAAGAATTATCTGTAGTAATTGACTGAGCCTTACTACATTTGGCATACCTCTCTCAGTATTTTATAGAAGAGATATATGCTCAGTTATACGAGACACATATGAGACATATGCGCCCAGTTCATCCTTTCATCAACAATGGAAGTAAGAGTTTGTTGCTTTCATTGGCAGATTAAGAAATTAATCAAATAGAGCTTTTATAACTCAGTCCATGTAGAGGCAGGATTTGAACCCAGCATTCTGGATCCTTGGTCTGAACTGTAGCCACCATGCCATCAATATTTATTCTAGCCTGGATGGAAGATGAGCTTGAGGAGAGATCCCTGGAAAACTGGAGGGAAATGGTTTAATGAGGGCAGAAGATGCTCTAAGAGGTCAGAACAAGACTAGGTAGGGTCCAGTTGTAGGATAAAGGTCTGAGCCCACTTCTGGGTTTGAAAACCTACCAAAACCCACCAGTTCCTGAGCCCCCAAACCCACTAATCCCTGAGCTCAAAATCCTACTGATCCCTGGTCTCTAATTCTCACCAATACCTGGTCTTGGCTTGAAATCCCACCAATTCCCCCCCTGGAAACTCTAGATAAGCCTATCTCCTGCCCAGGTGCCTGCTGCTTCTCTCCTGAGCAGAGGCAGCCACCCTCTTGGATCTCTCCCAATAAATCTCTAGTGTGAGGTTTGTTGTGTGGCATGACTTTGTGGTATTCCTTGGCTCCTGACTACCAGGATACCTTTCCCTCCAGGACTGTAACACCTTCATGGGAAAACTCTCCCTCTTAGAGCTGCAACACTTACACAAGGAGAGAGCAATTTAGGAACAGAAAGATGAAGAGAGTCAATGCCATGGAAATGCTTTGGAGGAAATAATTAGAAAATGTCCACAGGGCTTGAGAACATCTGCAACCTTAGCAAGAACATAACTCATAGAAAGGGTAGAATCCAGATTGCAAAGAGATCGAGATGCATGTAGCCTAAGAGATCAAACTGAGTGTGTTGTTCATTTTCCCCTTATAGATAGAATTTAAATTAGGAGTCAGATGGTCATCCCTCAGGGAGTTAGAAATGAACATGAATAGAAGGATGTCCAGTCAACATCTTGTCTCCATACGGTAGAAGGTTCAGTTTTCTTTAATTCTGTTTGATGTATATCAGGACTCTTAAAACCTAATAAAAAACAAATTACTGAAAGATGATCATGTGATCAGATGCCACAGTTGTGTCAAGAAGCAAAATGAGAGGTTACTTGTTTATTCTCAATGTTGATACTTACCTCATTGCAGGCTTATAGCAGTTGATTCTTGGACTAGGACCTGAGACCTCTATTTAAGGTTCTTTTGAAAACCAAGTTACAAATAAGGGTTAAAATAAAAGCATTGGCAGATTGAGTTAAAAAACAGAATAGATTTGCAAGTGGGTGACCCTAGTTCAGTAGAAAACTAAGAAAGTTTCACACCAAGGAAAAGGATAAATCTGAGATTTTTTTCTGATATAAAATTAATATGTAATAGCAACAATCTTATACATTTTTATAAATTATGTATAATATGAATACATAAGTATAGAATATACAAGAGTAATTTTATTAAGTCTTTTTTATGCTTTGTATTTTTTACATTTATTTATTTATTTATTTTTATTATTAAGAAATTTTCTGTTCATTTTACATACCAACCACAGGTGCCCCTCTCCTCCCTCCTTCCAATCCCCTCCCCAACCTCCCCTCCCCTCAACCCATGCCTCATTCCCACCTCCTCCAAGGCAAGGCCTCCCATGGGGCATCAACAGAGCCTGCTACGTTCAGTTGAGGCAGGTCCAAGCCCCTGCCCCTGAACCAAGGCTGTGTTAGGTGTCCCACCGTAGACACTGGACTCCACAAAGTCCGCTCATGCAGCAAGGATGGATCCTGATCCCACTGCCAGGGGCCCCGTAAGCAGGTCAAGCTAAACAACTGTCTTGCCTATGCAAAAGGCCTAGTCCAGTCCCATGGGGGCTCCACAGCTATTGGTCCACAGTTCATGAGTTCCCACTAGTTTGGTTTGGTTGCTGAGACTCTTTTTTTTTTTAAAGAGGAAAAAGGCCAAGTGTAATGTTTGGCTCACATAGCAGTTTTGATCTTCACTTGGTTGTCCACATCTTCCAAGTCCATGGCCAACATTGAATAATTTAGTCTTTGGTTTCATCAACAAGTTGATTTTAGTACAGTGAAGTTTATATTCCTTTCAGTGCAATTTAGAATCTTCTTCTGAAAACCCATCTATTGCTTCATCTCTTTATCTGTTTTTATATGTGAGCTGCTAATTACCTTATTTGTATTTTATTTTTTGTCTGGTTGTCTTCTCTAATTTACTTCTTATTTTTGTTGTTGTTCTGTTCAGGGATTTGAGATTTGGGGTTGTAGGAAGTGGGGACATGGCATCCCAGCAAATATTTTACCATTGGCATTGCCTAGAATTGCTTGTGCATGGTATTATGTGTTGGACCCTAAATATCTCCTTGCCATGAGGCGAAGGCTCTGTCTCCAGTCCCTGATGCTATTAGGAGGTGATAAAATGTTTAGGATATGAGGCCTGCTAGAAGGAAGATAGCTCAAGGGGCTGGGGGTGTCAGTGTGTGTGTGGAAGGCCATTGAAGGAGATACCTGATCCCTGATGCCTCTTTTCTCTTGGTTTTCAAGCTTCCATGAGGTGAGCAGCCCCTTGCCTCCTGCCCCACCATGATCTACTGTGTGGCCACAAACCCAAAGTAACAGGGCCAGGGATCAGGGTCTGAAACCTCATACACAGCCAGCCCCAAATAGAAACTTTCTCCATTTTGACTCTCTCAAATATCACATTTACAGAGAGCTGACTAGAACATGGTTATAAAACGAAGAACAAGCACCAGGCAGCTTTCACTTCTCATTTTTCTTACAAACACTTCGATATTTGGGATGAAATGCCATCACTGCTTTCTTAGAAATCTGTTGGGCTTAACATTAAATTAAAATAAAAGGACTTCAAATTTCTCGATATCTGTTAATTAAGATACATTAAAATGCTTATTATTCTTACATTCTATAGGCCAGTGACTACTTTTCAAAGGCGTTGGCGTTTAATCCAGAAAATAAGCATGCTCTCATGAATCGAGCTGTTGCAAACACATTATTGAAGAGATATGAAGAAGCAGAAAAAGATTTTTCATGTGCAATTGAGCACTGTCCCCACTGGGCTGCACTGTATTTTAACAGAGCAATTTTCCACTTCTGCTTGAAGCAGTATGAACTCGCCGAAGAAGACCTTGGCATAGGTAGGTGTTTTGTAATCATGTGGAGAAGATGATAGCAATTAGTATCCCTCTTTTCAGACTCCAAAAGTAGAACATCATCAAGCCTTTTGGTTTATATAGAATCCACATGTGTAGTACCACATCCTTAATGTGACCGGTACAGATTCTGTTTTGTAATATCTCATCTTAACACATTGGTGAGATGAGTTAGAATTGTTAGGAAACCACATATAAACAATGCCAGTCTCCCAGAGGAAGGCATTGGACCACGGCTTCCTGCGTTAGTCTTTTTAGAAACATCTGGTGTTTCTAATTGAATCGCATTATTACATTTGAAGAAAAACACTTCAAATGAGAGCTATGGGAGATTGATATCGACATATCTAGACTTTTTGTTTTCTTTTGCAGCCCTGTCTTTGAAGCCCAATGAAGCTGACGTGTATAATCTCAGAGCACAAGTTCGTGGCAAATTAGGACTGATAGAGGAAGCTATGAGTGACTATAACCAAGCCCTTGACCTTGAAGAATGTCCCCCGGCTATGTAATTATACAAACTCTTGTGGTTTCTGCACTAAGTTAAGTGTATAGTCTTCCTGAAACTGAAGTATATTTGCTGTATAGAAATGCCACCATTGTTATTGTATTTATTGCATGTACTAAGTGGCTATTCTTTTTAACCACTTAATATATTAAAAAACTATTTATATTAATTACAAAACTTTTCCATGATTTCAGAAATGAATTTGGTGTCATGTAGTCTTGCTTACATCGGTGAAGTAAAAAGAAATGGCTCTCTAGTTCACCTAGTACCTTGATAGGTGAATATCTTCATGGGAAACAAGGTCTTAAAAAGGAATATTAGTGCCTAAAGTATTTTCTGAAATAGTAGAATAATAAAAAAAATCATCAGCCTTTTTCAATGCCTATTTAAACATATTCAACGGTTTCCAGCTTGAAAAGAATAAATATTAGCTGATGGGTATAAAAGACTGAGGTCTAGTGCGCCTCCTTTCTCCCCTTTACATACTGTAATACCAGCCTGGATTCTTCCTGGCCCCCATGCTCTTCCAGCACATCAACATGTTTCTTTTTTATGCGCTGCTTACCTTCCAGAATAACACCTACGAGGAATTTTGAGCATTCCTTTTCCTAGAGATAATCTATTCTTTCTCTCATTCAGATTTCACAAATATACAACTAAGTATGTATAAAAATCTGTGTATGGTTGTAATAAATGTATTTATAGCACCCAGTGAATACAATTGAAACTTTTGGTCATTTTTTTTTCCTACAGAGAAGATCTTCCTATGTAGTCTAGGTTGGCCTTGAGCTCATGATCATCCTACTCCAGTCTCCCAAGTGCTAGGATTTCAGGTGTGGGCCACAATGCCTGCATAAGAATTCTTTATGGGATGTTTCTGAGAGATCTTTGGGTTAAGCAGAGAGTCCTTTTTGTTTTAACGTCACTTCAGTAATCAAGGCTTCCTGATGTCTAACTTACTCAGATTTGCCTCACTCAGTTTATTTTCCTTCTGGGTGTTTTATTCTCCTAAGTCATCCCCGGGACTTTTGAGGACTGCTTTCACAGTGATAAGGCACAGTTGTCCCTGAACTTCCTTAACTTTTAACTTGACAGCCAGCATGTCACAATAGAAAGTTGATTGTAGTTTGTAAGCTACAGTGAGGACACATCATATCATTCAGGGATAATTTCCCTGGCACAATGTATCAATTCATCCTAGTGAGTTATTTCAGCTGATTAATAAAACACATTATCTTGTCTTTTGGAATCTTTTTTGTTCTCACTAGTCTCCAGATTCATTTGTCCCTCCCTGGCTTAGCCAGAGGTGAGATTCAAACTGACCCCGTTTACCTACAGATTTCCTTCCGGGGCACATACATGTCCGTTACCGCCCTGGGTTCCTTTGCTGAACTGGAAGTGTTAGATGCTGGGGGTTCTCTTAGTGCCCACTGTGTGCCTTGCAGATGTACAAAACTATGTGCCTCTTTCAGATGAACTTTTGAAAGTGACAGAAGATAAGTGACTGTTGGATAGATTCATCTATTTCCACTTCTTGATGCATTTCAGTATCCCAAGACTCTGGGTTCATGGAGGCTCTTGACACATGGCCCTGGGAGATGATGACAGCAGTTACTTTTACTGTAGTAGCCAACTTCATTACGCATCTCACGCCAGTGTTTCTGTCTTACGTGCCTCACTCTTAAGACATTCTTACTTTTCTGGGATTGAGTTTACTGAAGCCAACCTTCATGTCCACGGCTTGCTGTCACAGCCATGGATCTCACATCTTCTTACCTCCTACAACTACAACTGCTTGCCTATTTTCTGGCTTTTCGAGCATACTCTTCATGCCACAGCAGCAGCGTGCCTACTTTACTCTCCTAAAGGAGCCTGTTTTCCCAGACCTTCCCATGTTTGAACACCCATTCTCTATATAAAACCCCCTTTCTTTTTATAATAACGGGGTGGGCCATTTTGTTGCCTGTAATTGCTAAACAACATTGTGTCCTAAGATTTTATAAAAACTTGTTGCTAATTCAGATGTTTACTTTTCTAATGGCCGCAGTCTTTTCTGCAGTGAAGTATTTTAGAGTTTGGTGATGAACAGAGGAGAATTACAACTTGAAAAAAGAAAGTATAATAATCACTTTTAGAACTTTAAGTCAAGTATGGGATTCCATGACCACACCCATTCCCTCTGCTTTCTCAACAGCCCTATTACGTAGTAGGGATTATTAAACGAGGAAACTGAGCTTCAGGAAGATGGACACGCACGTTGCTAGTAAGAAGTAGGTTGGATGTTGCGGTCGTTACTCCTGCCTGTTAGCTTGCTGGGATTTAGAAACACCTAAGAGAAGAAAGAGTGTGTCAGTCAGGGAGTTTCCAGAGAAATTGAATTGAGTTGGAAAGACCCACCATGAGCGTGAGTGGCACGGTCCCTGGGATGTGGCCTTGTACTGAATAAGAAGGGAAAGCAAGTGGAACCGACTGTGTTCTCTACTTCATAACTGCAGATGCAATGTGACCAGCATCCTCATGCTCCTGGCCCCCACACCTCCCCAGCCAGGGTGGACCAGCCCCTCAAACTGCAGGCTGACCTAACTCCTTTCTTCTCTAGGTGGCTTTTGTCAAATGCTCTGTCATTGCAACGAGAAAAGTGACACCCAGGGAAAACTGGTACTGAGGAGTGAGGCTACTGCTGTGACAAATCTGACCCTGTTAGTTCTTAGGCTTCTGGAGATAGTTTACAGGAGGAATATGGAAGGGTTTTGAGATGAATGTTAGAGATGGTCTAAAGCATTGTAAGCATAGCTTCATGGACTCTTCTCATAGTTTGAAATATCAGAATACCGAGAGAAGTGTAGACGTTGGAGACACAGCTGAGATTCCAGAGAAGAAGGACTCTCTCAGAAGCTGGACATCACACAGGCTTGGATTCCCTTCTCCAAAGCCTAGAGAAGTGGTTCCCTGGGATCAGCCTGAAAAGCTGAATAGGGGCCACTGAAACTGTGTTCCAATGGAACCAAATTAGCAGTGGATCTTGGCAGTATCATTGTGATATATACATACACACACATATATAAATATGTGTGTGTGTATGTATATATGTATATGTGTGTGTATACATATATATGTGTGTGTGTGTATGCACAAAAAACGCAAGAGTTATAGAGTCACACAGGCATGCATCAAGGTTCCAGAAGGCTGCTGAGGACAGTAACGCATGGCTGCACCAGATTCTCTATAGAGAGTTCCTGATAATCCATTATGTGAAACTGTGCCCAGGACCATGGGATATCCATGAAGGAAAACTGTGGGCAAAGAGTAGATATTAGCACTGCCCCACAAAAGGCTATACGTACTTCAGGTGGGAAGGCTATACGTACTTCAGGTGGCAGCTTGTTGGGATGGAGCTGCCCAGGGTTGTTATCACCGAGGTGAGTACACTGTGAACTTCTATCACACACAGAGCTGCAGGATTTGGTGATGTCTGCCCTGCTGAGTTGTCATCTTGCTTTGCCCTGATTTCTCCTTGCCATTGTCCATTCCTTTTGAACTTGGAATGTTAACTCTGTACTATTATATATTGGAAGTGTGTGACTTGCTTATTAGTATGTGGCTTGTTTATTAGATATCCTTCCCTACCGAGGAGGGTGTATCTCTTGTTATATGATTCCACGATGCAGCTATCTAGTCTTTTGAAATCTTTTTCGTGCCTGTATATTCTTGGGTGAAGACCATCTTCCTAACTAAACTGGACACTCCACGAAGGTGAGGACTATGTCTGTCTGTTCATCACTGCATTGCTCATGATTATCATAGTTCTTGGCATGCAGGTGTTTATTGTATTTTCTCCACTATAAAAATGTCTGCAGACTCACACAGAGCACTATAACTAAACAACCTATAGATTAATGGTCACTACTTGTTTCCATGCTAAAGAGAATATCCTGTGATTGTCTAGGCAAGTCTAGACACTAGAAGGTAAGAGCAGGGAGCATGTGCATTTGTAGTGCTTTCTTACTTGACATTTCCTCTGAGGAGAAGCCTAAGACTACACAGCTCTAATGCACGTACACTCACGCGTGAGTACACACAGCCCTTTAGCACCATAAGACTGATAATAAGTAATGTTAAGGCATCATGGATGGGATCAGCTTCTGGTAAAAATGACCCATCATGTAGACTAGTCAATAAGAAGGTAGCTAAAAACAGAGCTCAGTCAAGATGATGAAGGTGTGATGTATACAAATAACGATGTATAATTGGATGGTGATATATCAGATATTAATATAGTCATGCATAGTGCATGCAAGACAACAGCAAAGCTATTAATTATTATTCCCTTTAAAGAAAAATTATTATAAAGACTACACTGGTAAAGGAGGATAGTGGTACGTGTTAGACCTAGAACAGAGAGAAGGAGATGTGTTTGTTCCTGGCTTTACATGTTGATCATATTTACAAAAGAGTAGGGACATTTCATCATTTGACCTTTTATTCATAAGTTCCTATAAAGTAAATGGAGTTTAGCTTGTTATTGCTTTAGTTCACTCAATCATAAAGCCATTCAGCTTCTCCTTCCCCAAGTTTATTCTATCCAAGAAAACTTGCAGAGATACCTTATTTTTCTATATGGTTATGTTAAGCAAAATATATCTTATAATAATATCCTATTTTGTGATAAACAAAGTACATACATGGAGAACATTCTACACTATATTTTCATAGAATGTCTTAGGTTATTGTCATAATGCCAACCTTTCACAGTGAGCACCTATGAGAGTAGAATTGTGGGCTCAGAGTTCATAAAGTCATAAAGGAGGTTTAAGTGATTTCTGTTTGATTTTTCTGATTAAAAATTTTTAATTTTAATATTTCTGTAGCATATGATTGATTTTTTTTTGATGAGAAAGGGTCTACCCTGGGAAGACTTGAAACTCATTTGGTAGCTCAGGCTGGCCTCAAATAAGAGGCTAGAAAGAGGAATGCACATAGCAGAGAGACTGTGGAAAGAAATACAAGGCCATAATAATATAAACACAATTTTTTACTTTGAAGAGTGAATTAGTTTTATTGACTGATGAAAAACTAAAGTTATAAGATGTTTGGACAGAGAACAATAATAAAGTCCTTCTGGTAATCTATATTTTCTTTTAACTTTGAGCCAAAAGAACATAAAATTGTAGACGATGAGTGAGCTAGTTTCTTGTAGTTCCTTCAACAAAAACTGCACAGCTTAGCATGTGCATAGCACTAAATTCCGAAAGTACTGTGTGCTGACCTCCGAGGCTGCCGTAATCACCCACACTGGTCAGACTCTGAGTTCCTTTTCCTTTTCTGCCACTCTACAAGGAAAAACAGAGCACATTGCTGAAGACGTACCATTTTAAGTTTAAGAGCACTAGATATCAAAATCATAGCTAGAGAATTCACTCAGCTGCTTTCACAACTACTTTTACAAATGCCACAAAAAGTTATATAGTATTTCTGTTTAGGCTGAGTCAGTAAAATCACAAATATCGAATTTTCTGGAACTCACTTTGTCCTAAATCCTTTTAAAAAGTACAAAACAAGCAAAGTTTATTCATTTCATATAATCAGCAAATTTGGTAATTCAACTAATTACTTTTTTGGTAATTTAATTTATAATTCAAGTTATGCATAGTTTTGTTCTTATTAAATAATATTAAAATTTTAAATATTCTTTCCAACATAATATTTTTATTGATTATTTGGGAATTTCACATAATGCACCCTGGTCACACTCATTTGCCAGTCCTCCCAGAGCCACCCACACACACTTTTGCACCCCCTACCACCAAAAAAAAAACCCCAAATCCAATCTATGTTGTTCACATACTCATTGATGCATGGCCACACTCTCAGTAGCCAGTCCCTTAAAGAAAACTGAATCCTATTCCCTCCCCCGCCACACACCACCACCACCAGAAGCCATCAGTTATGGAGAGCTACACTTCAGCATCCTTATCACTATTCAATGGCTTCCTGTTGAGGCTAGAAAGAGGAATGCACATAGCAGAGAGACTGTGGAAAGAAATACAAGGCCATAATAATATAAACACAATTTTTTACTTTGAAGAGTAAATTAGTTTTATTGACTGATGAAAAACTAAAGTTATAAGATGTTTGGACAGAGAACAATAATAAAGTCCTTCTGGTAATCTATATTTTCTTTTAACTTTGAGCCAAAAGAACATAAAATTGTAGACGATGATCTGTTTTTGGAGGGGGGTGTGGATAGG